CTTGATCTCTTCTCCTGCGTTCCCCAAACAACATTCTGAGAAATAGCAAAAACGTTGAAATAGGGTGATCCCCTGTGCTGTTTACAGCGGTACCACATGAGGGATGCCGGTGAAGTTTACTTGCTCCGTCGCAGAATGATGGCATTTTCGCACAAACCCCACTGCCACCGCCCTGTTCACGGAAATCGCGGGTAGAAGAGTTATCGTTGGGCCGAGATGCCCGCTTTCTCGCTGCTAACGGACTCGCATAGCTGGAACTGCCACGCAACTGCGCGACTTACGACGTACACAACCTCGAAACACCAATTCAGGGGTAAAGTTAGATGTTCCGAGCCGATTTCCCCGACATTTAGGGTTGTTTCCAATAATCTGAAAATGTAATTTTAAATTTATTGTGAGTTATGACGAAATTGATTTAAAAAGAACTTTGCAACACATCCACCACCACCTGTCCGGCCTCCTTCTTCCTCTTCCAAGGTCGGATCTACTTCGACTCGTGCTACTCCATCACGCCAACGTCCTTGGACAATAATGCCTTACTTGACCAATCAGCGCTTCACACTGTGGTCAACCAACCAACCAATTATCACCGTTTGCTCCGCTCAATCTCCATTCACTGCGGTGAGCATGTGTCCGGAACACATGCTCGGCCGCAAAATATTTGCAGATGCGACAATACTGTCAACTGTCTGGGTTTCAATATCAGGAGTCACAACTATTTACTAACTATCAGAATATTCTTATTGGTTGCCGTAGTTGTGTTTCCTCAAATTAGTATAACAATTTAAGGGTAATGCTTGAAATTTAGACCCAGTTTCTCCTAAATTTAGGGCTCTCTTTAAATAATCTGAATATGCAATTTCAAAATTTTTATAAGTTATGATAGAATTGATTTAAGAGGAACTTAGCAATACAACCTTTACCGGAAACGCTAAATCGCCTCAAGAAATGAAAAGGAAGGATTTCGTGTACCTCGTGCTCATAAATGATTGTGTATTGTCATTACACTACCACCACCAACGGTAGCACTCACTACTAATTTCTGGTTCACACCAAACTGAGTGGAGTTCCCCCACACTCCCATGACTTCGCTCATGGCCAGTCGTCTGCCCGAGATAAGGCCGTGGAACTCCTTGAACGTGGCCACAGCAGGTGTTCTACAGTGGACGTTTGTGCGGACACCAGTCTCTCTGCAACTGCACATGGTCAGGGGAGATCACGACTTGCAGAAAATGTCCCCAAGTTTTAACTTCAAGGAACTAGTGGAGGCTCCGGATTGGGTTCTTTGACCAATTTGAAGAGGTAAACAGCCGACTCCTACTTACTAACTATCAATGTCTTCCCAATGAAAGCCATAGTTGTGTTCTTGGGTTGAACTCTAACTTATCTGGCCACGCGATGACCACTCGCACTTCCACTCCCATCCTGAAATCGTATTCTGAAATATGTGAGTGGGTGTTTTAGTGCCTCTTACTTCACACAAGGAAACACATAAAAGAGATTAGACGTCGTAGCAAATGGACTTAGCTTAGTATTCTTTGAAAAATCTCTTTAAAATAGTCAATGTTTCTAAAAAGAAGACGCAGAAGCGGATTGACGATGCAATAGCAGGCGGCAATTGCTGTCAGTACTTTAACGCATAACCAGTAATTCGGGAACTCCTTCATGAGGAATATGAATTGAAGCGCCATCAGGCTGTGGATGGGGCCGACAAGCCACAGGTACAGATGCTTGTCCAGCAGCAGGAGTTCTTCGATGTCGCGGATGACCTTCTTTGGAGCATTGACGCTCTTGAGGGTGGTCAGTAGCTCCGAGTAGATGAAGGACACGACTATGATTGGCAGGAGGTAATTTAAGGCTACCGAGGCGACGAACGACACTCGCACCCGCATGAAACGCCGATGAGCGAGTTCATCCTCATAAAGGAATACGGCGCTACAGACACCGTACTCCTCCTCAAATTCATACATGAACACGTGGATGAGGGCACTAGCCAATGACGACATCGAGGCAGTCAAAATCAAGACACCGTAGGTGAAGAGGCGCTTCAGATTGCCCGACGATCTGGGTCTTAGAATGCGAAGGTAGTGGCTTGTGCAGACAAACACATTTGTCCATGCTCTGAGGCTAAAGACGAACCAGAAGATGGCAAAGGAGGCAATCAAGTAGCACTCCCACTCACTCGGTTGTTGGGTTTTGGCGCGGATGGTGAAAAACACTGCGAAACAGGCAGTCGTGTTGAGCAAGTTCTGGAGAAGGTTTAGTAAGATCAGGAAAGACAAGCGTCTCCTTGACGCGGTGTAAGCATGCTCGATGGTTAGGATAATATTAACAATAGCAGCAAATAGAAAGAACGCTCCCATTAAATCCATCTTCTCTTTACTCAGACGAAGTGTCAGCTGGCTAAACAGGGGATGTGGCCAGTGGCTGCGGGCAGTTATTGATTTTTGTCATCTTTAAACATTCTCCACTGCCGTGGAATTATCGGCGAAGACTGAAGTTTCTGCAAGAAGGCAAAATTAGCCTGCTCGAATTAACTGCACGATAATTTCTTGCAGTAACTGCACCACAACCACACGGATTACACACCCTGCCCTTGGAAACACAAGACACAACAGCTTGTGTATTGTGCTGGGTTGGTGTGAAAGTTACCCATCAAATATTAAGGCATAAATAGAATGTGTTTCACAATCCAAAATGGGTTCAAAATGCCGTATTTGCGTATTTTATGTCATGCACATTTTCTTGAACAACCCGAAGCGTTATTGCCTCTCTTTGGTAGGCAATATTTTCTCGAAAAGTTTTCTAATTTCTTCTACTGACATTTGATGCTCTCACTTGGTTTAAATCAGACAATGCATGCATTGAAACCTGCCATTTTAGATCAGACACGCCCATTTCTAAACGTCTTTAGCAGAAGGCTATGTAGAACTCTAGAACTGAGGCAGGCAAAAGCATGATCGCAGCACAATCAAAAAATCCACTTTAGTGACATTAGAATGCCACATTCTACATACATTAAAAAATTTTTCATAGTGTGTAGATACTATTGTTAGCGAAATCCTCAAGATTAAATACAACGTTTTATTCTAATCAATTAGGCTAAATTTAACATAACTGAACCTGGCCAAATGATTATATCAGCTTTTGTCCAGTTCTAAATTTGAAGTTTTTGGTGAGCTACGTCAATAAAACACAGATTCAGCAACAGACAATGTTTTACAAGCAGAGTTATACCTTCCCGTAAAATGACCGCTTTGGAAGCTAGAATTTAATCAACAGTAAAAGAAATAATAGCGGTTACCATACGAGGCCTGTACCAATTAATCAATTAGGGGCAAACGCTTCGTTAAGGACAGCCCATTGCCATTATTTTAGTCTTAAAACCATTGCCTTATAGAATTGGCAAGTGGATTTGCTTTAAATAAAATAGGGATATTCAAAAGAGCTAACCCTAATATTGATCATAATTATTCAAAGCAAATCTTTGGAAATTTGCCAGAATTGCTGATCTAACCTTCAACCCAAATGCTAAGATGGCTATTGAAATAGACAAATAGATATCGAGGCCAAAAATAGGTTCAGAGCGGTATTCATGTTGCCAAATTTCATGGGATTTCTTCCAAAATCATTTGATCTGCAGACACACATATAACACTGGTATTATTTAATCTAGTAGCATAAAGGAAGCCTAACAGAAAATCAGAGAAGTAATGTGAAACATGAGGAATGAGATTAAGTTGTGTGGCAACAAAAATAAGCATGGCACAAAACATGGTCTTCGTTGACACGGTCGCATTCAGTAATTTTAATTCTAGCATAAAGCCTGAACGTATTAGTAAGATTTGTGTGTTTGCTTGCTAGCATTACCCTGCAACCCTAAATTTAACAGTGCTGAAAAACTTCAGCTGAGAGGCAAATTAGCGACATCGAATATGACCGTCTATTACCGTCACACAACGTGTAACACATTGGTGCAACTGAGAGGTGGGATTCGCATGTAGTGGTTACAAATTTTGACAAAAAATAAGTGGTAAAAACTTCAGATTTACATCAAAAGCATGTGTTTCACAGGATTTCAAAAAACAATTTCATTCCGTTGTAAAATAAATGAAGATGTTACTCACGATTTAAAGCAAAAATGAAATAATGACTTCAGTAATCTTTTAACTTACAAACAAATCTTTAAGTGATGTTAGGTTACTCTAGTAGTTATAATTACCTATTTTACTATAGATGATTCTTGAGAAAAATACTTTTTGATGATCTGGTTTAAACATTTCTAAATACTCGTTCGAGGCCTCATTAATAACAGCGAGAGAATGTATACATTTTAAGAGTATTAAAATAAAAGAACTATTAAACGTAAGAAAGTCATAATTTTTTCCAAAACCATTTGTTCTGACTTTGTGCAATTTTAACCTTTTGTTTGCCAAGTTTGCTCTTAGAAAATTTTTCAAGGAAAAAGTGTTACTGAAAACTTAATGACGCAAAATGAGTCTGTATATACCGAGAGTAAATTGCTACTTACATGACATTTTCGACAGAACAAAAGTATTTAAATAATATAGTTGCCCTGAGGCAAATTTAACTGGAATCCGTTTAACCACTTTCAGATTGTTATTAACAACCTATATAATAGGCAACTTTTTAACCCATTTTCAAGCCAATGAAAAGTGTAGCTTAAGGTCATAGACAATGTCAGAACGTTTCGACATCAGCACCTGTTTGAAAAATTATGTTTTGGCATTTCGTAGTGGTCTTATCGATAAAGTCAAAGATTCGTTGGTGTGATTTTGCAATTTTTGATTTTACATTTAGCGTCCATTCCCAGAGTACATCCTTATTTCTTACGGGGATGTTTCGACGCCTTTAAAAAATGTTCTAGTTACGCTTTTTCAACTCGAGACGAAATTCCAGTCTCTTCATTTTATATCACCGAAAACAATGTTTAACCGCCAGGAAGTTGTTTTTCGTAATTGCGCTTTTTGTTCAAGTAGAAATTACATGATTCCTTCACGCGATTGCAGGCGGTTCGCGAGGACACGAGTCACTCTAAGAATCGAAATTCAGATGATCTGAATTCAGTTCAAACGTCTGCCATAATAGAGTATATGCGCTTCTTTTGCCATTTACGGTGCAAACTATTGTCTTTGTATCCTCTTTAAGTTGTAGTCACTACTCCTCTCGAAATGTTTGAAAAAACCATTAACTCTTGTGTTCTTCGTGAGACTTAGCCCTGAAACCACAGACCTGATGCTTGTCATTAGCGTACCAATTTTTTAAAGATTAGTGGTTTTCTGGCATGACTTAGACTAGTCATCCTTGCAGCGAATTACACCCGCGAATCATGTTACTGGTTGTTGCATGATGTATCTCCTTAATTCCTTAACACTTGACCCGTAGCTTCTCTTGGGTAATGAAAAAGGAAACTACATTGAGCTGCTCTTCCGCGAAAGTGTCCATCGCTCTTGAAGATTTACTTGCTTCAAGAAGCCCTGTCAACTGTTTCGAGTTCCTTTTTTCGCCACTTGTTGAGATTATTAGGTGAGTACCTACTAAGACAATTTTTGGGACAATTTACCAACATATAACTGAAATCCGCCCAAGAAATGTTAGCTTAAAATGATCCATCATATGGTCTCTGGACCGTTTAATTAAACACAACTTAACAAACTAGTTTTTTGTCAACCCGCTTTGTGATCGCTTGAACAACAATCTGATGTCCAATATTTGTGATAATTACGCCTTCATTTTTAACTCGTAAATTGCCTCATCGCTGTTCCACTGTCAGACTGTCTTTCGTTTCTATTTTGATGAATGTGTTTCTTACACTTTTAGACACGAATTGGAAATATTAGTGGCTCTGTTAAAATTGCAGTGTCAGCTAGGCAACTTGGAATTCCTTAACTCGATTCTCAGCTTGAACGCATTGTCTCATAAATTAATCGAGGATTCTTCCTGTCAATGTGAAGTGAGTGATGATCTCTTTTGGTTTTTCAAAGCACACAATTAGGCTGAAGTCTTTGTTCATGGTTCGCACTAATTCCAAAAGGCTTTACTTTCGATTTGCTCTAGTGATTTTTTAAAAGGAATTATACCCAACAAATCAGGTGCGATTCTCTAACGGAACCTTTGCTAGAATTTTGAGTAACAGCAGTTGTTAATCTTGCAAAGCCGAGTCCAGTGAATAAGTGCCAAGTCACGTTTCGCTGATGCTAAATTCTTGTAACTGCAAATGAAGAAACAAACTCGTATCCTGGACTGTGAACGTTTGTCTAAGTTGATTTAATACAATTGCAAGAACTTAAGAGGAAAGCATAATAAGTACACTAAATGCGCCAGGAAATGGTACTTCAGTATCCTCTTTGTTAATTTTTAAGATGGAGAAGTCATAATTTCTGTTTCAGGTGTCTGTTGAGCCTCGCCAGACTCGACTACGCGCCTGGCTTCGAAAATTTTACTCGACATTGCTAGCTAAGTTTACCCTTTACTGGTACACAGTTTTGAATAACGCTGCCACTTCTTCAGTCGAGCTGGAACAGTCACTGTCGAAAGAGAATCCAGATATTGTCTCCAAGTAAGCACCTAATATAAATCTAAAACCGAGACCCCTTTACCTGTAACTCTTGTTCGTAATCAATGACTTTACTGCAAGTGATTGAACATAGGTTTTTATCAGAACCGCAGTTGCAAAATATTGTCCAATGAAAACATCGTTTTTATCTCACCCACGATTGCAGAATCCAGGACTTTGTGCACCGCTATGAGGGCGTCTACGTAGCCCTTTTCTTCGATGCCTACCTTCAAGACTTTGCCTACTTGGGACACAGTTACGTGCCTCCAGGTGCGGCCGAGAAATACGTGAAGGGACCGATCGCCATCCCTTGCATCTTCACTATGCCCCCGGTTAGTTGTGTTACCAATAAAACGGCCACTGGTAAAATCAAGTTGTGAGCGTGTGTTTGTCATGAGAATCATGTAAACAATCTCCCTGTTGCCTAGGCGACTTACTCATCGGCCGTCGGCAGATTGTAACCTTTTGACCTCGGTCGAAGCATTGAATTGGCCACTAAAGCGTCCGCATAGTGTGATCGTGAAATCGGGCTTGTTAACTGTAACAGCAGTCAGGAATAAAAACTGGGAGCCTTTGCCTCACACTTGATGCTATGAGTCTGACGAATAGGACGCATTCCAGTGGGCATCAAATATAAGATATCTGCGGCGCTTTTCAGGGAAATAATAATAATGTTTAATAAATAGCCATCATCAGGATATCCAGATACAATTGGGCATCAGTAGATGCACCCTGCTAGTCGTGCCGCTCCACCAAGTATTCGGTATTAGGGGAATGCTATAATCAGCGCAAAGCACCTCTTTCTAATTCCCAATTTCAATTTGCAGGGCAGCGAGCCTAACACCGTCCCTGTGCCCGACCTAACGGTGATAATGCGAGCTATCAATTCCCTGATCCCGCTAGACGCCTCTGCCACTTCACGACAAATTATGCCTCTTCAGGACTTACACCTGCAAAAGTCGTTCCTTGTGCTCAAAGTCGAGGCGCGCATGTACATGGCCATCGTATTCCCCAGCAGCCTGGACGCCGAAAACGGACACTTTCGCGAGTTCGCCACAAAGATTACCAACACCATCCAGCTTGTTAATCTTGTTCGATCCATACGAAACTGACTTTTAATTGTAGCGCACAACTTTCTTTATACTAATTTACGCAGCAAATGTGCACATGAGTTGTTAATCTGTTAAGTTGGTCGGATTTACCACGGCAACGAAGTACAATAGCAAAATACAGCCACCGCGTGGAACGGGACCATCTAACATAACCTTAGCCCAACCAACTGGCTGCGCATTCTAAATTAGGGTAGCATTCAAGTATACAGGACACGGAATTTATCCATTCTCTCCCATCAGCAGCTTTCACATTATCCCCACACGACCACGAGTGGTACACAAACCCAGACCACAATAAAAAAGAGGAATTGTATGTATATAAATGCCTTTATCACATGAGACTATACAACTATGATGGCAACAAAGGTAGATCATGTACATGTACTTAAAATGAGCTAAAAGCAGCACCTTGAGGTTTACATCATGCCACCCATTCCTCCTCCCATACCGCCCATGCCTCCCATTCCGGGCATGGCGTTGTCCTCCTTAGGAATGTCGCACACAACGGCCTCGGCCGTTGTCAAGAGGGACGCCACACCCGAGGCGTCCACCAAGGCAGTACGCACAACTTTTGTGGGATCGATGATGCCGGCAGCAATCATGTCGACGTACTTGTCATTCATTGCATCGTAACCTTCGTTTTGGCTCATTCCCATAATTTTCTGGACAACGACTGAGGCGTTGACACCAGCATTATGGGCAATTGTATAAGCAGGGGTCTCGAGAGCCCTCTTTACTATGTCAATACCTGCAAGGAGAATAGCACTTATCATTCTAAGCTAACGATACACAGGCTTCTAACAATACGAACATACCAATTTGTTGGTCTTTGTTTTTAACTTCGATTCCATCGAGCACCGGGATACACCTCAGGAGGGCCGTACCACCACCAGGAACTATTCCCTCTTCTACTGCAGCTCGCGTAGAATTAAGCGCATCAGTGTAACGATCCTTCTTTTCAGAAACCTCTACCTCACTGCTGCCACCGACTTTGATAACAGCGACACCGTTTGAGAGCTTAGCAACGCGCTCCTGCATCTTCTCTTTTTCGTAGTCGCTGGTGCTTACACTGATCTCATCCCGAATCTGTGCAATTCGCTTCTCGACTTCTTCCTTTTTTCCTTGACCTCGCATAAACAATGTGTCGTCTTTCGTGATGATAGCTTCGCCAACACGACCTAGGTCGTGAAGTTGAACATTTTCCAATTTGTACATGTCGGCTTCATCGCCAAACACCTACAAAAAGTAATGCTAGGCATACACTCGGCACAGGACGTAGGGAAGCAAAACTGACGCAATACTTACCACACCACCGGAAGCGATTGCCATATCGCGCAATGTATTTTTACGATTGTCACCGAAGCCTGGCGCTTTAACAGCGCAAACCTGGAGGCCGACCTTTAAGCGGTTCAACACAAGGGCGGTAAGTGCTTCACCCTCAACGTCCTCGGCAACTATAACAAGAGGCCTCTTGTGTTGGTGAATCATCTCCAGAACGGGGACCAAAACTTGAATGTTGTTAATCTTCTTTTCACAGAAAAGGACGTAACAATCCTGGAATTCACAACGAGCACCTTTGTCGGTATTAATAAAATATGGAGAAATGTAACCGCGATCGAACTTCATCCCTTCAATGAACTCAATCTCGTCATGCAGAGTTTTACCGTCCTAAAATGTTAGTGAAATCGAAAGAATGTTACTTTGACGGTGATCGTTCCATCGTTCCCGACGCGCTTCATTGCATCAGAAATAAGATCACCGATGCTGGTGTCACCATTTGCAGAGATAGTTGCAACTTGAGCAACTTCTTCGGGGGTAGTAACGGGCCTTGACATTTCCTTCAAATGCTTAACGACAACGTCAACGGCCATCATCACACCCCGACGGAATTCAATAGGATTTGCGCCCTTGCTTATCTTCTCGAAACCCTCTTTGGCAATAGCACGAGCAAGCACCGTAGCAGTAGTCGTACCATCACCAGCTTCCTCATTTGCGTTGTTAGCAACATCCTGCACAAGCTTGGCACCAATGTTCTGGAATTTATCCTTCAGTTCTATTCCCTTTGCAACTGTAACCCCATCCTTGGTGATTTTTGGTGAACGCCACTGACTTTCTAGAATGACGTTGCGGCCTTTAGGACCCATCGTAACGGCGACTGCGTCGGCAAGAATGTCGACGCCAACAAGCATTGCAGCACGAGCCTCGGCACCGAACTTCACATCCTTAGCCAAGCCACGAATGACGGACTTGCAGACGGAGCCGGCGAAACGTTGAGATAGGGCAGCACGCAACATCGTAAAGTGCACGCCGTTCCAGAACGATTGATACACATAAACAACGACTCTACTTATCAAAACAATCATAGTGTAGATTGTGAAACCAAAATTTTATAAATGAACTAAGATTAATTAAATTATTTTACGACAAAAAGCTAATGTCAAGGTATATAAAAGAATTAGACATTAACCTTAAAATTTAAATTTCCATTTTAGCAAGCTGAAGGAATGATTTTTCATAAAGCACACCCGTGACACATAGATACGTCTTGCTAATTTTATTTTTAATATGCAAAAACGAATGTTAATATTATATGTTGTAAATTAGCACGGCAGTGAGGATTTAAGCATGAGATTCAGTCGACAAAAAAATTATACAAAAGGAGATAAATAAACGATTAAAACAATTTATGAGCAATTTATCAAACCTAGAAACTAACGCTAAGGCACTGTACCAAATAGCTATTACTTAATAAACGTGAATGGGACAGTAAATTTTTCTTGATGCTGCTGCAATATATTTGAATCCGTGATAATCTTTGCAATCATTACAGGCAATTCCTTGTCTACTTCTTTCGAACACTCCGCAATTGCTAAAAGTAAATGCATAAGGTATAGAATTGGCTACACGAAACAAACCAAAAGATCGCTCCCATTTCTTCTACGTGCTTTTAACGCCTTAGTCAATAATGACACCGGGACCAATTCATCCAGCATTGCCTTTTCACCTACCACTGTGGTGTTAATGAGTCTACCATTTTCGCGTACTCAATCTTGAAGTTTGGGTGCAAACTCTTAACCCTTGTCGATTTACTGTTTTAACCCAGGTATTAGGCACTCTCCAAGTCGAAACAACTTGAAACCGTGCTTGGCAGCAAGTAACCTATATTTAACCAATGGATGAAGCCTTTGTTGAGGGCCCCGACAAGTTGCGACAATCTACGCCGAATACGTTACTCTGTGTTTCCGCAAAAATAAAGAAGACCTGAGTATAGAAGGCACAACCATTTACTGAACAGCTCAGCCAATTTGAGTCGTGTACAAATACGGTTCAGAGGACATGTACAAAAATAAACACAGGTGTCTGTGAGGTCGCATGACTAAAACGGGTGGTGGTGGGACATGCAGAGTGGTTAATGAACCAGTCACCTCACGTGACTAAGAGGCAGGTCGTGAAACGGGGGGATGTATGCCAGAAGCTATGCTGACTGAGTTTTTGGACTTGAATTAACACGAGTCCCTATAGTTTTAATCAACCAAACAATTCAAATTTGCCTTACCAATCCTTCCCCATCGGTGGCAACAACTCAACTTTACTCAGGCCCTACACTGGTTTTCCAATTTCTCTCTGGCAAATCTCCTGCATCCGTTGCGTCTACGACCAATTTGCCTTGTCTATTATCGTTCACTTTAAACAAGGCAAAACTGGAAACGAAATGATTTGCTTCATCAATACAATAAACCTAATATCGGACTTGAACAAACCAATCCACCACACTGCCAAGATTAAAGCCACAACCACACACAATTTGTTCGCTGTCGCCTAAAGCGTCAAGAAAACATCGTCCTTAATTATTGTGTACTGGCAAGCTCTAAAAGGTACCTGCTCCTATGATGACGTAGGTTTTCGCCGTTAAACACATGAAGTTGGACACATATTGCAAGCTTGTGATTCTTTTATATTTGGTACAACCACTTTTAAATAGCTATTTGGGTGATTTCTAGCTTAACTGTTGTGAGCTCCGTATGCGTTTGTGTTAAAAAATTTATTGTGTGTCTTTAGATTTTCGTGATCGTTGTTCAAGGTTTGGTCTGTCTCGAAAATCTAAAAAAACCACTTCTCATTAAATCTTGTACCAATAATGACATGCAGTTAAAATAAGCCATTGGATCAAAAAATGTAAAAATTGATTCTTATGCATAATTAGCTTTTTTTCTTCGTTTAATTCGTATAAGATACACTGTGACCTATTGTGCTGCTTAGAAGTTGCTATCGTTGAATGAGAGGTAACATCATTTTGTGTTTAAAAGCCATGACCAAAATGTTTAAAACTACATAAATTTAAAATATGTTTTTTTAAACATGATTTAAGCTCAAAAATAGGTCTGTGAAAATTAGGTCACATTGCCGTTGTTTATATTCGCTGAAATCAGAGGTGAGCAAACGAATTGCAGGTACGATTGGTTCATTCTGATGGTATTGGCCTAGTTCGTTCATTGTTAATTATATTGAGTTGCAGAGCCTCATGATCTATGTAAAGTCATTAGCCATAGACCCTGTGTTTAATTCTGAATTTTCATTCGTGTTTTTACTAGAGAACTAGTAGATCATATTTTATGGCCTTTGAAACCTTTTTGGTATTAAGTAATCAATTTATTTAATGTTTTTATTTGCTCTTGTACACGCCAAATACTTTTTTTAGATTTTTACTAATATCAAGACTGCCAACACACACGAGGCGTTGTTAGTCTTCTAACTTGTCTGCGAAACCTTTTTAATAGTTCATTAATACAAATATAAACCTATGCTAAGTAGGTTTACTTTAATTGTAGGGTGAAATATTCATCAATGGCCTTAAGATGGTCCTTTATTACGACAGGCAATGGAAAATCAATATCAAACATATTCAATGACTGTTTTTATTATAAATTCAATGAAAATGGTAAACAAAATGGGACTTGTAACCTCAAATTCAGGTTCAGAAATTTGCATAATACGAGACCCCGATGCTAATGTGTGGCTGTACAATATGAGGTGTGTCTTTTAGTGAAACTAATCTGTGACTTAAAGCCACGAGAAAGTTTACTTAAATGGAGAAGTAATAATGGTTGATGATTTTAAAGAACTGAACTCTGGAGACAAACTGCTCTTTGAAAGTGGGGAGGGTAAGGCCGTTCAGTAATTGTCAGAATCCCAATTTAGACTTACAGTTCTTTATAGAAAGTGATGTAAAAGATAAGGCTGAACGAGCTGAAGATACGGGTTGTTCTCCTGCCAAGCGTCTGAGTCTCCAGAAACACTCTTCATGCCTCGACGAATATCTATCATGTCCTATTTGCTCAAGAATTCTTTTGGAATGTCAAAGGTTAGGGCTTAAACTCTAGAACCTTTTTTCGAAATGCTTAACAATTACCTTGCACCAATTTCCAGGCTGAAAATTTGGTATTAATGAGATCTTCACGGTGGAATATGTCAAAGAACTCCTGTTTTTAACGTCCTGTACTTTTGATTCTGGTAATGTAGTTCCTAATGCGTTAGGCATCACGATAATCCCAAAAGCTTTCTTTCTTTGCTTTTGCCTTAAATTGACAAATGTCTTCTTATTTTTCTGAAACAATTGTACCTTGGAATAGCAAGGTACAATGTTGTGAGGACTGCAAGATACTGCTAGATTAGGTACGGCCTAGGGAATACATTCGCTACGGATCCGATAAACCTATTCGAAATGCTTTTATCATAACCCGCATCAGGTGGGTAAATGGTACGTGAATTTGAGAAAATATGATAAGCCCGTTTTATGACCATCACTACAGGAAATCTTAATATCAACTATGAGCAAACTAGATACTTCACGCGTTTCGTTTTGGCGCTAAAGGGGAGCATTTTTTCTATCTTAGTGTTCAACCGTGTCTCCATAGCTTCTGCAAGCATTGCCTTCTTAGCTGGAGAGTGAGGAGTGATGAGTGTCCAACAGTAGGTTCTGCCTTTAAATATTTCGCAAATAGCCGTTTGGCGTATTGAGCTACGGTGGTGGTGGTTGACGTTCTGGATATGGTTACTGTCTAAGTCCACAGCAATTCAGTTGTATGAAATCTGCATGTGTTTTTACTTTGTAATTCAAATTGAAAATTGGCGCTGTGTTTGATCAAAATTGCGAAGTGTATGAAGCTGGTGTGTGCGTATTTAAATGCTCAGCTGTTGTTTTTGGTTAACACTGCATGTTTGTTTTCTGTTGTGTAGTGTCGTGGCAAGATAAGGGATTATGCCAAAAACTGTCAACTCGACGCGATCGTTCAAGAGTACCTGAAGTCTCATCCTGGTTTGTGGTTGTTTTTGTTTAAATTGACAACAGCAATATTTGTTTCTAGATTATGATTTGACCAGTGAAGAGAAATCAGCGATAAAGGAACAGATAGTCGAGTATGAGGTGAGCTGACAAATTTATCCCATTATCGATTATCTTGGGATTTTTTGAATTCTTTCGACCTCTATTCGAGAAGAAAATCGAGTTGTAGAACCAATAACTGACGTAATTTTGACGAAGTGTTTTTCACCAAACTTATCCATCATTATGGCGCCTTAGTTAGCTTGTTCCCCCTCCTGGGAGACCAAAATAGCGTTGAAAATGGCTTGCTTGCAATGAGTCGCTTGGTTACTTGCTGATTCCATCCTGTTCTTACCCTTCTTGGATGGTAAATCGTCAATTTCTGTTAAATGATTGTGTACCGGTTGGCCAGTAAATTTTCTGGCCCTTTATCGTGCGTCCTCACATATACTGGCGATGTGGTACGCGTCATCTTTAGCCACGTGTTCACAAACTCTGTTGCTTTTGTTAATAATAAATGAAATGCAGGTTATAGATGCTGATTATGACCGTCATTTTAAGGTAGCCACGCATTTATTCTTGTCCGAATATACCAACACGTGTAGGCACAGCTGCACTCTCAAAGCGCTCAACCTGAAGCTGGACATCTAATGGCAAATGGGGCAGTGGATGAGGAGGAGGAGGAAGAAGAAGACGAGTAAGCTAATGTCTCTACTATCGATTTGTGCACCGGTGTACTAACACCACCCCACTCTAAACCTACGTCGCTTCGATGCGCTTATTTGGGAACTACGTAACTGCCACTGCATAGACATCATGAATTTTGGGCTACCTATGCCTCCTTAAGTGTTTCCCTCAGAATAAGAGGTTGTTTTTACCGAAACGCTAGTTAATTAAAATGAAGAAAGCTTCTCATAGGCTTGGATGTGTGATGTGATTGCATCGGTTGCGTCATAGTGATGTGATGCTTGCTTTAGCAGCGGACCAATTAGCTTTGACTTCGCGACAAGGTTGCTGTCGCAGTGAGTGTTTTGGTTGGCACAAGGCAGTGATCGCACATTGGGGGGAGGGGTGACTACTTGTATTTACAGATCAACGGATTTTCGGGTTGTGCTGAAGTACAATTGGCTGACATCGGAGCATGCGCTTCTGTGGCCATGTTGAATTTTCACGGTCTGAAGGAGTTCTGGAGTGCGAACTGCGTGTTATGTTGACACGTTCATCCACTTGAATCGACCACTTCGACGCTTTTCGACTTTCATTCCATATCGCATCCATCACCGTTGTGCACCTCTTCGCGTAATTCCCTACAAATCATGCTCACACAACTAGTAATTAGCCTGCTTTGGTGTATTAACCGTCCCCAACCGTGTATCTGTAGCGATTCTGATCCCTTGATGGCTCGTTTTCCCGAGTCTATCATCCATCTTGCACATTTCCCTCAGTACGTTGGTCTTCATTTGTGAATTTAGACCTACAACCTGCCCGTGGTGTCCCCTAACCACCTCCGCCACCGGCCTGCCATGTACGTGTTTGGGATGTTTCGCCTGTTTGGTTACCCTGATTACCAAACCTGCCATGTTAGAATGACTAAGTTTTCAAATCTACGAAACAGGTACTCTAAATATTGACTTAACGTGATTCCCACCCCCCACTCCCCTTGACCAGGCTCTCAACACCGCACGTGCTTCGAATGCGGCCTTCTGATGCCCGCTCCTGGCGTCGCCGAACAGTTGAATCTACGGGATCCTGGATGTGCGTTGTGCAAGCGGGATGTGTGCTGCCTCCTCGCCAATGACGACACACCCTGTCGTTGTGACCAACACACTTGTGCCTCTTCTCTCAACGGTAAGTGGCACCGTCCGTGTGTGTGTGTGTGTCAGTGGCTTTTCGCCGCGGTATTGCCACCAATTTTCTGGTCAAACTTGCCGCGGACAGCAGAAGGCCTGTCGAAAATCACTTGGTGATGCTCCTGGTGTGAATCGTGTTTATTCATACTCCCTAATCCGGTCGCTCCACCTCCGACACAGGGTTCCCCTTTTTTCGCAGCATGTCGCCAGCCACGCGGATCCTCAACCCCCCATTATTCACACGAATATATATGGATTATCCTCACACCTAGGTCTCGATGTTAGCGCACGTATGACTCACGCATCTAAGGTATAAATACACACGCGCAAACCCCACACACGACGCAACGACATCAACATGGTTGAGCTCTGAAGTAAACGGTTGTGCCCACGCCCTCTCCGATCTTTTTCTCCATCGCGGATATCAGGGAAACGTAATTGGGCCAGGGTTAATTCCGTGGCCCCGGCGTGGTTCAAGGCCACATGCTGGGACCCAACACTCCATTGTGATAGGTTGGCAGTTTTTTTATCAAGACAAATCGTCCAGACGTCTGAATGAGCCACGCCTTCGTTTTTTTTTCATTTCTAGAAAGCCGTAATCATTTGCCATTTCACGCCAAGCTGATAAATGACGTGGAAACGGCCCACTTGCTGGTGAGTCAACAAACTCCAAGTACACTCGATGCCTCCAGTCCTTACTGGTGGATTCAGTTCGCAATTTTTTCCCAAACCAGACGTACAAAGCCAACAAGCGCCTCAGCGAGGTTGATTTCGTGGACGCAGTCCTCTCCCGCTTCGCCTCGTTGACACTGCATGACTTCAATGACGGCCTCGATGTCGTCGCCTTGGGCTCAATCACCCCGGACACGCGGCTCTGTCGGCAGTGCAGGGATCTGTGCTTCTCGCGGCTGCTGTACGGCTGGAAGATGAGCCTGCCGCCTGGTGACCAGCGTCTGTGGCCATCACGTCCCAACTGCTACTACGGCTACAACTGCCACACCCAGCACAGGAGCTTGCAGCACGCCGCGAAGTACAACCACTGCTGTCCGCAGACTCGATTTCATTAATTAATTATTCTTCTTTCGCCTTTGTTTGTCTTTCGTGAGTTTTCAAAACTCATTTTACCATGTGATCACTAATGCCTTGATTTTCTTTGTATTTCTTGTTTCCTTTCAGACTTTTTAAACACAAATATGCCAAACTGGTGTTGTTTTTTTTTTCGGCTTCGTGTCTAACCTTCCAAATGTTGCCAAGTAACGTCAAAAATCGGTCCAAGTGGTGGACCTGGTAGAGAGTTACCTTGCCGGATGTTGAGTTTAAAAAAGTCCTGCGGCCTAATTTGGGCTTCATTGGTGCCTGTTGGAATGCCAACCATCACATTGCCAACTCACCTCATCTGTAGGCTCTGTTTAGTGGGGGGGGGGGGCAGAAATGCGTATACGATCGTAAACGCAGAGGTGGCAAGTAAATTATGCGTGACATTTGCCTTAGGGGCGTCTTGTTTCAAAAAAAACAAAGTGGGGGACTGTTAAGCCGCTCTGTTCCCACGATTGCGGTTACTACGTGCTTTCCGAACTGACACGAGGCTTCTCTAGCTTGTGGGAACACGAATTAAATGGCATCTTAATTAGGGCAATATCCGTTATTGAAATTGTAATGAGTAACACAATGCGTATGAACCAATGGGCACTCACGACAATCCACTGAGAGCCTAAGGCGAACCCGTGTGGCGCGCCCGGGCATGGTAAGAGAGCCAATGGACAGTTATATGGGTATATTGACAGAAAGTACAACGACAGGGGTCTCTTATATACTTGGTCCCGGTTGCTCCTGTCCGCTCATTGGTTCCGGCTTGGCTTCTAGAAATAGAAAGACAATCTCGTGCGGTGAATGGCTATCCGGACTTTGGCGCACCACTTGAAACTTAAGTGCTCCTCGCAACCGGAAATCACGTGATGCCGCCCCCACGGCTCGCCATTGGCTCTCAACCAAAGGCTGGATGCCAAGATGGCGTCCTTCTTCCCCCACGCTACACCCGCTGCAATTTGATTTTATCGATTTCTCATTGCATACACCAATGACAACAAAGTGGTGTAATGTCGTTTTTTTCTTAATAAGGAGGGAATGGGAGCAAAGACACCTAACTCATGTCTTCTTGGTTTTTTTAACATCGGGATGAATTTAACGGTCTGCTTTATCACCTGAATTAAAATTAATCCTGCAAACATTCTACTCATAAATGTTACGTAGACATAGCAACATGGTATAACTCAACCTGGCTCACTAACAAGGTGGGCAAATAAGTTATGAAATACCTCAACGAGTCGGGTATGAATTGTCTAGAAACGGAATATTGTTTGTGTCCTATCTGATGTAGGATTTACGCTTGGCACAAATCTGCACATCTATAATAATTTCACAATCAGCGAATTTGTGATTTGGAAAGTGCAGGACACCATGATGTCCACATTGAATGCGCTGCCGACGTTCTGTATGCTGCCTCCCTGCAGCAACCTTCAGGGTGAACGGTGTGCTGAGATGAGTGTAGATTCAGTAGCGGATGCTGGGTGGTTTTGTGACGCAGTGGTAGCCAAAATAACGACCATGCACGCAGTGGTAATGGTTGGAGGCACAATGCCACAGGAAATACCTGATGAAATCATTTAGACACTGCCATTATTCATGTCTTCGGATTCCGTTGTGGTTTGGAAAGGCTCGGAACAACGAACGACAAGTCTAATTGAGCTACCCAGCCTCTCACAACGGCATAGTTCACGATGACAAGTGATAAACAGCACGTTTAACACGAATTCAGGCAACAAGGACAAAATGCTTCTAAAGCACGGGGAAATCAGTCTGTAGTGTTATTGTTTTCAACGTTGAGCCTCAAGAAACGTGTAATTAGTGGCACAATCGTTTTATTTGAAGTGGTGATTTCGGTCTTAGCGACAAGCCGCGCCCCAGACAGCAGCCTCGAAAGTTGTGAGCTCAGCTGGATGAAGACTCAACGCAAACGCTAAAAGAGCTTGCAGCAGCTCAGTTAGGAGTCACCCAAGTACCCATTTCCGAGTGTTGGCACCAAGTGGACAAATTCGACAACTTGGAAGTTGGGTCTCACCACGTGTGTTGGCCAAACGCAGCAACGTAGCTCAACGCATGAACACACGTATTTCTCCGCTTGTCCATCAGCAACAAGCAGTGAATGGACTTCTTGTGGGAAATTGTGACGGGTAATGAAAAGCATATGTTTTGTTACAGGAATCCTAAACGTAAAACGTAGAATCGTGGGTAGGTCTCGGATAACCGAGTACAAAGTCAACGAAACTGGACATCCACTTGAAGAAGGTTCTCCTGTGGATCTGGTTAGGGGACATAAAGGGTGTACTTCATTATGAACTCCTGGAAACTGGTCGTCAGACGGTGACTGCGCAACGCCACAGCCGACAATTGAACAAATTGAGCAAGGAACTTCATCAGAAAAGGCCATTTACTGGGCAAGGTAATTGCCAAATCATTCTGGGATGGGAAGTTCTCCCACACGCGGCATGTTCACCAGACTGGGCCCCATCCCACCACTATTTGTTGCCGTCAAAACGTTGGACGATATGCGCAAATTCGTCGACGAAGCCTTCAAGTTTCTTTCGCGATGGCATTCGTACGTTACCCGAGAGATGGCGCAAGGTCATACAAAACGATGGGCATTATTTCCAAGATTAGCTTCCTTGTTCGTTATTTTTTATACCAAATTAATTTGTTGAAATATCTACAAAAATTAGGCCGTACACCAAATATTTGCCGTCTGTAGTCCACTGTCAGCGATCGCGCATGAGTGAGGCATGCTCCAGAAATTATTGATTTCAATGACTCATCCTTATTTTTCATTGGCAACAATTATGGCGAATCCTAATGCAGCATTGCCTCTTAACAACGTCACACTTTTAAGTCTAATCCCACTATTTTCAATTATAACTGCTAACCAGAGAATCTCCACATATATTTAGAATACGTTGTGTTTAGTACGCTAGGAAATCATCCCAAACACGAGGTGGATGGTTAGAGCACACACGAAACAAATCGTGATAGATTTTGTGTAATTTTGACACAGCCTCGTTACCCTGTTCCCATAGTGACTTACTGATTTCTCCCGGTCACCAAAAGACCCTTGATTTTGTACCTCGCTTCACCCAAATTCGCTGCGAAATTCCCTCTTTCGCCTTCACCAAATCTAATTCAAGCACAGTTTTACTTTAAGAACACAAAACCAAGCAGGCTTAAGATCATGTGGGGTCGCCACCTTCGCATACCCTTACAGCCACACACAACTCCCTCCATCAATTCTAGTAGAGTTGAAGCCTCGACTTCGTGCAGTTAGCAATTGCACCACTAAAACCACGACTGCCAGATTCGTGTCAAATGAGTGCATTTAAGAGGTTTCATATGCGGATGCAACAAATTCTTCGATTTCAAAGGTCCCGTTTTATAGCAGCATGCAACTGCGCGCTGTACTCAGGATACGTCTATTCCAGCACTGCTTACGAATTGATCAATGCCTGAAGTACCAACACATATGCTAAAATACTTGGTTTTACTGACAGTTGAAGGCTTCCCTTTACAATAGCACTTTACCAAGGGATTTTAACTTTTTTGAAAGTTTCTGATCATCCATTTTACTCGAAGGTGCTGCGTCCTGTTTGGAAGTCTTGGACTCCGCTTTTAGAGTTGCAGTGCTTTCTGGACGCGATCTTCGATGAAATTCCTTCGATGTTCGACCCTCATTCAGCTGTTCGTTTGGGCCAGACTTGGTCGCGGTCCTTAGTATGACTCCTGAGTCACTGGGACTAACACAGGGTGCAGGAGACTTGTTCGAGTCGGCATCGCGTTGGCCGCCAAGATTGGCGTAGGTGGACTGGTTGGCGTCATTGCCGGCGTCTCGGGAGCTGCTGGACGAGGAGACGCAAGAACCGTCTAATTTAAGGCTAACTTCTTCCGAATACTCACTTTCCTCTGCCTGTGCAGAGGAAGATGTCGGTTCAGTGTTGCTGGATTGCGAGTCCACTCTGCGCCTGCAAACATACGGAGGGCACTAGTAGTAGAGTGGTCTTGTTTATCAGAAAAGTCGCAGTTAAAATCCTGGCTTCGTTTGCCCGCAGCCTTGTCACCTGCTTCAGCACATAACATTTGAACGACAGTAAAATCGATCTCAATGGTTAATCAACTGATCCGCCTTCAACAGTTCGCCCACGCCTTTAAAAATCAATCGAAGAAATACAAAGGTTTTTTTTTTAAATTTCGACTTCCATTAATATCCCGGTTAAATTGAAGCGGTGGTTGAATTGACTGTTATCTTACTGAAGTCTACAAGACGGTAAAACCACGTGATAGGCTGTGGTGAACCCCGGTCGACGCAGCCTCACACACGACCCCCTTTTCATGGCGTGTGGCCGTCAGTCACTGGGACCGCCTGCTCACTCACCCCTCCGTATGTACCACCACCAACCGCTCTATGTGTACTTTCACACTTTAGAATTACAATCATAATCACCTTTACTACGGCTTCTATACATGGCAGGCGCATGCGTTATTTAAAGACGAAATGACGGGTAATTTGTGGCATTTTATTGGAGACAATTTCCTCTGCCTGGAACCACTTTACGTGAAAGTTTATTGGCCAATCCAAGATGCTTAATGCACGTGTGTTAACGATTCCCCTAAGCACATCCAGTTATTGAGGAATTTGGAGAACCTTTCATCATGTCGGGGTCACCAGTTGTTGTGGTCCTAAGTCACGCAGGGGCCACTGAGTTGAACCTGGAGCGATTACTCTTCCCTGCTATTCGCGATAGAGGAGAAGACGGGAGAGGACGTGGTCACAGACGTTTACTTCAGAGCTCAAACACGTTGGTGTCGTTGCGTCGTGTGTGGCGTTTGCGCGTGTGTATTTATACCTCAGATGTGTGAGTCATAGAAGCGCTAACATCGGGACCTAGATGTGAGGATAATCCATGATAATCGATCGCTCTAATGAGGGCGGAGATGCGGATCCGCGCGGCTGGCGACAAGCTGTGGAAAGGGGAACCCTCTGTCGGAGGACGGAGCGACCGGATTAAGGGGGTGTGAACAAACACGACTCGCAACAACATCAACCAATCACTGTAATGCATTCAAGCGTTTTTTAAAAAAAAACTACGTTTACTAGCTTCTTATTTTTTTTGTTTTAATTGCTTGCACTAAGATTTCAGTGGGCATGTATGCGTAATTTCGGCTTTTAAATTAAAATTGCAAGCTGATGTTTAAAAATAATGCCAGTGTGACAACGAGAAGGTGTGAGTCTGCCAACGGAGTTGTAACCACTGTAGCAACCACTCGATAAAAACAACTCTTGGCACGCATTTCAAATGTGCAGTTAGGCTGCACTAGGATTTACCGAAATCTTGCCCAATGGGAGTGCTGCCTTTTGCACTTCCTGTGCTTTCCTTTGTCCCGCACGGCGATCATCGTCTGGTTCCCGTAGTCGTCTTCTTCCATCATTGCCGATCGGCCACCTTTCTTTTGAATTCCCATCTCCAGGAATATGGTGACTTCGGGTCCTGAATCATGGATAACCAATAATCGCTCAGTTTTATTTAACTCAATTTGGTCTAATTCGCAATGAACATGTCCAGTTTTGTGGTACACTTATAATCGGTTTAGTTGTCTCAAATTTTCGACACTGCTTCCAGGATTATTCGAGAAAGAGGATTCAGGGCTATAGTCTGGAGTCGGACGAGCGATATGCCACAACCGAGCCTTTGATTCCGGCTAGGGCTTGTGTATTGCTTCGTCAAAATTCGTGTGAGGACACATCACCTTTGAAAAACCTTCAAACATCACGGCAATTTAGTTGGTGGCGTTTCCTGTGTACTCTAAGGTAACCACGACTACTTGAAAGATGAAATTTTAAATGTCCTGTTTGCATGCTTTTCTTAATCGTGAATATTTCTTTCCGATTAGCTAAATTTTAAATTCGAGGCCAATGTTACGCACCAGTCTATTTAAAACACTTACAAAACAAGCAATAAGGGGAGGAGTACACAATTATCTCTTTATCGTTTCTATTTGAGAACTGTGACGTGGTAAAAAAAACTCATTTTCCCAAATAAACAGTTTTAAAGTCCTTGAGTAACAGCAAGCAATTAAAGAGTTTTTAAATTGGGGGCAAAATCGGTTGCCTTAAGCGCCGCGCTTACAGAGTACACACGTGCAATTCAGACGAAATTTTCTGACGCAACAAAAGTCGTTTTATTTGAATCCCAAGCTATTAAATAGCCTGAGTTCACCGTTTTGGTTACTTTTGGTGAGCCTGACCGCTGCGCATGTCAAAACCCCCCTAATTCTGTGCTATTTTTCCACTCAGTTTAGCCGTAGAGTTCCTGTTTTGACCATGTTTGTCGAAAATGACCCCAATTCTTTACGTGTCAATGGAACACCCAATTTCTCGTATGTGTGTGGCATTGGCCTTCAAACGAAACAGCCTCGAACCAATTCAAGACGAGCAATTCCACCAATTACGTCATGCCATGTTAATTTCAACTCGCAATCTCGACCTACCTTAGAAATTGAACACACGGTTCACCAAGTATTGTGTCAGGAAGACCTATTTTTTATTTGCTGCATATCATAAAATGTCAGGTCCATTTTTTCACACCACACTAAATCAGTGACTTACTCGATCAGTGGTTCGTCGCGCGGCTAATTTCACACTACAAGCTGGTTATTTAAAAACCCCAAACTAACGAATGCCAGATTCTGTGTCACTTCGTTTGAACCAATCAAGGCGCAATTATTAACTCGTGTGAGTTAACAGCTCGCTCTACTAATCCACGGTGTTCTGAAGCGCCATAGTCTTTCTTCTAACAATTCCGTGAGGCATCGCGCTGGATTTTAAGCTACGCCGACGCCAAATGTGCAGATTTTGTCGCATTGGACTCTTCTCTTTTGCGCGAAAACTTGAAAAAAAAAGAGGCGAACTGACTTTGTCGTTTATAACGCCACAAAACCGCGCTAAGGAACATTTAGCGCGCAAATAGTGGTTTGCACTCAGAATCCACAGTAAACGCGATGATAAAACTAGCAAGATCATTAACTTATGTCGAAGAATTTGTGTTCCACTCTAACTCAAATCTACCACAAAGGGACAGAAGTTTCCACTTAAACTGAAAGCTCGTTTTAAGTCAAAACGAAGTAGGGGGTTGGTAGGTGACCTGGCTGCAGGTCAATCACCCTCAGTAATCCAGTACGCAACCATTGCGACATGTTTACATCCTAATGGGGAATTATGAAATCGGTGCCGTGCATATGCTCACCAAGAAACTAATTAAACGATAACCGTAAAGGTGGCAAATCATACGGCATGTCAACTGGCTCAAAGAGGCGTAAGTAAAGACCGTTTCGTGTGGACAGGGAGGACCGTGTGTTGCACCAAACCTGAGGGTTTCCCACAAAACAATGAATTTTGTGATTAACATTTACTGTCCCGTGCAATTACACAATCAACACGTTTTCCAGTGAGAACCATTTGAGGGATGCGTCAAATCAAAAACAAATCATTGATGTGAGCAAGTACAGCTGGACACCAAAGCTGATGGGGATTCGTGTTTGTAACTCGCGAGTGTTGATTAGCGATTCATATATCGCTTTGCGTCTGATTTCCACATCACGCTTTGGCCTTCTTGTGGCCGCAAGGTAAAAAATCGATTTTCCTGACGGCTTTTAAATCACCTCAGCATAGCGTCAGAATTAGTACACTCAAAGCTAAATGACCAGTAGGAAGAGGGCGGCCAATATGAATCCAAAAATGGTGTGCACAAACGCGAGTCAAAATAAAAAGGAGAAATTTGTCAAAAACGTGAAAAATAGAGCTTAGGAATGTTGAATTCTCTTCACTTGTCAACTTGGAAAAGTTATGAAAGTATTTCTAAATTGAAGGATTGGTGTTTTTTGAAAAAAAAGGCCCGAATAGATAGCCGAAACGCGTAAAGTTGCGCTTTCGTTTCCCCCTGAGTGGTACTTTCCGATTAAGCGTTGCGTCGGTTAATTGCTGTACCAGTTAAGTTCAATGTGTTATCAAGACACGTAGGGCAGCATCCAACTGAACTCACATTGTTAATGGCCTTTTAAGGAGTCCTTGTAGAAAGATATTACTGAGCAATATGTGGTCTGTGTGAGCAGTATAAGAGCCTAGTGGTTAATATGTCTTCGTTCACATATTCATTAGGATCTGATGTAAGGGGCCACTGATGATAGTGAGCCGGCATCCATGACCAGGGTCTACAGCGTGTATTAAGCGTTGGCCGGAAATTTACCTCAGTTTCAGTAACAACAGTTCGATCAAATTGTTTTGCAAATCACAAGATGGAATACAAGTAAATTCGTTAGTGAGATTCTATTGATTTAAAACTTTCTCAATGGCATACATTGACCAATTTGTACTTTAAAGATCGGGGACTGCGCATACCCTCACTAACCAAATTAGTTGAGTGTGTTTTTGAAAACTGCATTCATAGGAAAGACTACATTCAACAATCCGGCAGTTATTCTTAGCACAGCGCAGATTCCATCCACGTAGAACCTGAAACCATCAGAATTGTACTAAGTACTGCAGTGTACTCCTACCACAATCCATTATTAATTGGTATCTATGACGAAAACCAGTAACCATCAGCATACACCAACCAACCAGCCAACGCCCTGCTCTTTTTTTATTGCATTGGCGCCACTCCCAAATTTTGTGGGCTATAAGACAGTCCCAGTAGCCTCTGAGGTGACGGTCACAAGTTTAAAGGGGGTAACTCGAAATTTACTCAATTAAGAATTCCATTTACTTTGATTTTGATTCATGAATCTACAGCACATTTCGCTTTAAATTTTCATTGAATATCTCTGAGATTCCAGTAGGGCTAACTTTGCAAATAAGACTACTGAATGCGTTTTGAAAACTTGCAAACTTGTCGCTTATGCTGTAGACTGTCAGTGATCGATGGCTCATCCTTACTTCTCATTGGCTAATGTTATCAGTCGCCTTCCACGCACGTATACTCATCCGTTCACAAGGACACGGCTAGTGTGACGGTAATAAACGGTTGTCAAGGCCACTAGAAGTCGAAACTTTTGTGGACAATGTTTAAATTATGTTAGACGAGGTGCCTAGCTCTAATCTAATTGATAAAAACAATTTAAGCATCACAGCCCTGCCAAAGGTTGCTCAGCCTTAATTAATATGATCCGTTGAATGAGCAAACACCCACGCTAACCACCAATAGTGTTGCCGAGCAACACAAACATGTCGGATAACTTGAACAATAATAAAGTTGCTTGCTGAAGAATCGTGAAGTGTTCGACACGAGATCTGCCAGCCTCGTGCTTTTCGTTTAAACGTTCTTTCGACATGATAACAACAACAAGTACGTATCCCGTTAAGTGGGGCTGTCATTTATCAAACAAATTTTGCATTCTAAAGGAAATCAAAAACGGCTCAGTGGTTGGTGTTTTCAAAACTACCGAAATCTACTTCGGCTTAGTTCTCGCATGCATTGTCATGATTGGTTGGACCCGATGTCATATGCTTTGGCGTGTAGGCGTATCGGGAAGGACGTTAAGTGCAATATATATATTAGATTTCAATGCATACTTTTGCTGACACACCTATGCGCAGATCATGAAGAAACGGGGCTTCGGTAAACACAAGCATGGAGCTGGGTAAATAAAGTCGATTAGATTATCTCATAGCCTTGCTCAGAGATGCCACACACGACACTAATCGACCGCACTTAAAAGACCGCATTCTATACAAACTTCATGTGAAGAAAAGGTGGGTTAGTTTGTTTTTTTGGCTGTAATGGCATTTGTGTGGTAGACCGGAGCCTGTCTTACGAGGCTCCTTGGAGGTGAAAGAAGGGCCGAAGCTTTCCCGACTTTCCTCAACATCCACACAAAATTCTGAAGAAGTCGCTCCAGGACAGAGACAAGACTCACACATTGGGGCGGCAAGTTCCACGGCGGTGGACGATACCTATGCTGTGCCCTTCGAAGACTTACCAGAATCTGGGAGAAAGGAGGAAAGTGGAGGCAAAGAGCCAACTGAAAAGCCCAGTGGGACAAAACCACTAAACGGGGGAGCCTCTGCACTCTCCAGATCATCCACGCCAGACAAATCAACCAGCCAGTCGTCTGATGAGGAGAAACCGTCCTCCAGCGGTGTTATTAAGGGTCAGTCGGAAGTAGCACAGACCCGTGACAAAGAACCAGCTAAAAAAGAAGCTAGTTCAAACAAGGATATGTGTAATAAGGAAGTTTTGGCGGAGTCTCCGAAAGTGACCAGTTCTGGAGACACTGGAGGTTCCAAATCACATTTATCCTCAGACACTGTCTCTGATTCTACTAGTTCATCAGATTCAGAAGATCGAGCCAAACCACCGTCTGTTGACGAAAAACCGTCCTCCAGCAGCGTAATTAAAGGCCAGCCGCAAGTTGCACGGAACCATGACAAGGAACCACCTAAATCTGACCCTAAGTCTCAGAACACGCCTACATCTAGAGACACAGGGGTCTCCAAATCAGGTCTAGCCACTGAAGCAGTCCCTGTATCTACCAGTTCGACAATTCCCGAAAAACAAGCCAAACAACCATCGGTTGACAAAAAACCGTCCACCGGTAGCGTGATTCAAGACCAGTCGCAAATGCCACAGACCCGTGGTAAAGAACCAAGTAGACCAGAACGTGGTTTTAAAAAGGATGTTGGCAATAAGGAAGTTTCGGCGGAGTCTTTGAAAATGACTGGAGACACAGGTGGCTCCAAATCACGCTTAGCAACCGACAAAGTCTCGGGAGCTACTAGTTCACCGAATCCAGAAAAACAAGCCAAAGTATCGACTGTTGACGAAAAACCATCCTCCAGAGCTGCAAACAAGAACCAATCAGACGTCACACAGACCCGCGACAAAGAACCAGCTAAACATGACCCTGACTTGAAAGTAGATGCTTCCAGTAAAGAGGATTCGGTGAAGTCTCAGAATGCGACGAAGTCTGGAGACTCAGGTAGCCCTAAACCTTCTTCATCCACTAAAGAAGCTAAGAAATCCAAAGAAATGCCGGAAACAAGTAAAACGGCTCTTTCTAAACAGAAAGATGCAGGTAAAGAAAGCAAAGACCAGAATGACTTTTCCTCTGATTCGTCAGAATCTTGGGGCTCAGACTCGGATAGTTCGTCGAGCGATGACTCGAGTTCTGACGATGACTCCAGTTCAGATGATGACAGCACAGACGATGACGAAACCACCTCTGACGATAGTGATTCTTCGAGCTCCACAAGTTGGGACAGTGATTCCTCGAGTTCCGACGACTCAAGTTCCGACAGTGACTCGACTACAAGTAGTTCAGATTCAAGCGAAGAGGATGTTCGAAAAGAGACATCGAAGAAGCACAAGAAGTAAAAAGCTGGGTTGGTTGTTATTGTAATACTTGATAATATATTAGTATATGGTGTGAGAACAAAATACGACTTTTTCCCTGGCCAGTGGTAAAAACATTTTTAGGTTTATTTAGTTTAAAATGAAAATTATTTTGTGTCATTTCGACAATTTGTGATCACACCAGGTCCAGTGATATAATACTTAATTAATAAAAATCTTTATGCTGAAACGAAGAAGTATATACTAAATTTCTTCTTTAAATTAATGAGAACAAGGCCAAATACACCCTTAAAAAAACTTCTCAGTTGCTAAGGCTTTTGAAGGGGCCTAAAATATTTCAGGTAAAATGAAGTCAGTTTGGGGTTGTCTATCTAATTCAGCGACTATTTCATATGTTACAAGATCAAAAGGCCGTCTTGACATAAGTATTTTTCTTAATTTTATAAGGCTAGGCTAAACCTTCCGTCAACATTTGCATGAATTGCATTTGCCCATTTTGAAAATGATAGCAAATATCACAGATAAATTTGAAGCTCCCGGTTGGTTAGCAGCTGCCTTGCAGAACCACGCAAACACTTATTTCAAACAAAGTTTGGCAAATTTAAAAGTTTACCTTTAGGGAATTTGGTTTCGCATGATTAGGTCAAAGTATTATTTATATTTACCTAGATAAAAAGTTTAAGCAGCGATTGCATAAACTATTGTCAACTTCGCCCTCTGTTGATCAAAATTAGCAATGCACTGTCGTGTTAAGGGTGTCTTTACTAGGTCACGAGATTTGTAATGACCATGAACTTGTACAAGCTTGGACTGAGTAAGGAAAAGCATCAGACCCACGAAAGGTGACGTGGCAAATTCGAAGCACTAGAGGTGAACTTAATTTTGTGAAGAAATGTATTTGATAAGAAGCGTAGTTGGTGTACTTTTTTGCCTACTTACACTTCACGAATAATCAAATCATTAAGATTGCAACTCGTTAACATTTGGAAGTTTTAGTTATGTCTTTCGAAGTTCTTAAATTCCACACGGTACCAAATATGGATGTTCAATCACACTAAAAAAGAATCACTACAGCTGACTCAATTTACCTTTTAAACCACTCAATGCCGTGTAGAGCCTGTGCCTTCGCTCACTGCCAATCTACAAACCCATCACGCTTGTGATCATATTCTAAAATAGCAAATCATTAGTGCACATTTTAATGAATCAGTGGGAGCATATCGGTGTCACATTGGAAGCCCACGCATTCGAAGACGAATAGGCCTTCTGAATCAGCTAGGCAGAAAATACGTTACTCATCACTTTCAGTGAGTAAAATCCATTTCTTACTCCATTCATATGCATTTAACTAAAGTTGTTTTAACGGTTAAGGTCCTTACTTCGGAACTTCAGTTATGTTCCAACCGGATAAACCCTAGAAAGTTTTGGATTGCTTACTTTCTTACCTTCTAATGGAGTTGCAATCATTGTGTAAAAATTTATTTCATACTAACTTTAACTACTTGCAAACAGAAAATCTTCACTTCTGGGTCACTTGTTGACGCATAGACTGTTGGAATATCTGTGTCTTTGACTGGACTTGGTGTAGTCTGATCGTTTTAAGACAACAGTCTGAATGGGTAGAGTCCGTGAACATTTAAACGTAAAGTATTAGCAACATTAAATACAAGGTGTATATGATACGCTCCAATTGTGATGCCTATTGGGAGACGCGTCAGATAATCCTCTTCAACAGTTATATTCCACAAGACCAAAATGAGAAAGACTACATCGTAATAGACAAGTGTCGCCGAAAATTAAAGTCGTCTTAAATTATCAAGAAAGCAAAAAAATGTAATTGTGCCTTTCGTATCCACTCATGCTATTACATTTTATCCAACACCGCAGTGTTCGCTTGAGAAGGGTTCACTGTTTAATAATCTTTGCTCAAATTGTGGCCCTAAAAGCTCCATTAAATAGGCAACCATCTCTGTTTAACTAATATAATCAGAATGAATCTAATGAGAACGAAAGCAACTTTAGCAGCCACATCAAAGTTCAAATTAAACGTCAATAGCACCGGTTTTTAGTATTAGGTTCCAAGGTTACTTGCTACTAAAATACAACATGAGGTAAAGGCAATGCAACGTAGTCGCAAACAATAAAACTAACTTTTTTCCTTCCTGTTTAAAGTCAGATTGGCATCGCTGCATGCTAAGTCATTGCGTGCATTATCACAGCAGATATAGTATTTGTAAATAGTGGAGAAAAAGGCTCTCTATTCAAGATTTTCGTCGAAAGATTTTAACTGAAAATACAGCAGGCATAAAATATTATGCCGTCCTCAAAATCACATGACAGGGGGCCCTTCATTAGCATGAAGAGCTGCACGAAGAACGTCAGGTTTAGACTGATTTGAATTATGAATCATAACCCTACAGATCAATCGGTTTGCCTCGGCATTTAATTTTACCCTAATGATTTTGTTATTAAAAATTTTAGAGTAACTCTCACTACTATAAATAAGAGAAACTATACGGACCTTAGTATACCTCTAGCGGCCAAATATTCGCTAAACAACTCATCATCATCAAAATTTTTATCTTAGTTCCTTTTTTCGTAAACAACAATGCTACTATGGGAGCTTTGATCTCATTTACACAAAAGCTGTCTTCTCGGAGAATAATGTTGGATCGAGGATAAATTCTTAGACCTCAAACTCTAAAAGTGTGACGCTTTTCCCTGATGCAAATAGTTTAATAACATGTTACCCTGAAAAAAGGATACTTGACTCTGAATGTATTTATTTTCTCTCATTTAAATCTCTGGTAATAAAGCAGATCTCATCGACTCTAAATGAGCTCAACCGAATGAATTTTGGTAGTGGTTTTTACGCAACGTCACACTGACTACGTTATTTGAAAAGGTGTAAAACTTAGCAAATAGGAAAGCATTGTGGAAAGTAGCGTCTTGTTTGGAAATGCGTTATCTCTGAAGAGGCATTTCAAGACACCACTCCCAAGTGTTCATCTAGACGCGTAGCCTCAGAGTATTATCTATTATATGAACACGTCAAAGCATCCAGCGATGAGTTTATACATTCTGTCAAAAACTTGCCCTGCGTCCTCTTAATCGGACACTTGTACGTCCAGCAGGAAAGAAAGGCAATTCCCCAATAAGTCCAAAACCATTTGTTCTTAAGTAGATTCAAAAACATGTAATGCCGATAATCTTAACAACTACAAAGTACTCAACTCAACCATACGAGATAAGGTCCTCAGCACCTATACCAGTAAACACTGAAGTACAACAGTTCGAAAATGGGGCTATATTTTACCAACATCGATTTAATAAAAATCATTTTGGTAATTTAGGACAGTTTTAAAACGACAAAAGGTTAATAATTTGGTTTTCATTAGTTTAATTAAACCTTTTAAGTCTGTGGAATATAAAATAACAATAAGTTCACTTGTTAGGACATAACCCGCTCGTCAAGTAAACATTTAAATGCAGACTGCTTTAAGACAGTTAACATTGACAATAATCTATTTAAAAAACCAAATCATCGGTAAAATATATTAAACGACTGATTTCTGTGGCTTTTGTTCTAGCATAACATAACTAAATATCAATTAATTTTTACTATGTATACAGAAGTGATTTGGGTGATGTTTTAGCTTTCTTGAAGAAACGCGCTTACTCTAACAGCGAAAGGACAATGAGTGGTTCGTTTGTTGTTTTTTCAATGAACAGCTTTATCTAATTATTTTCAGACGAAGTTGGTGCAATCGTTCTTGATCTGGGGTCTCACACTCTTCGTGGTGGATTTGCTGGAGAGGATACACCAAAGGTTACCTAATTCCCATAATTATTCTCTCTTATAGCTTGATATCCCAAGTTACGTTGGCTCAATTAGCCCGAAGGATGAAAATTCAGTTACAAAACGCATTTTTGGGAACAACATTTATGTTCCTCGTGAAGGAATGGAAGTGAAGGCATTTATTAAAGACGGCTTGGGTATGAATTTATTGCATTTTTTAAGTCACATTAGTTGATGACTGGGATGTCTTCGAGGAAGTTGTCTCATACATGATTGGCTTTTTAATCCCTGGTGAAAAAACGCAGCATCCCATCCTTTGTTCTGAACCCTCCTGGAACCCAAAATCAAAACGAGAGAAAATGACAGAAATTCTGTTCGAAAAATTTGAGGTGAGCGCTTTTTTCACTTTTGTGCTATCTCCTTAAAGGTCCCCGCCTTTTATCTTGCGAAGAATGCGGCTCTTGCCTGTTTTGCAAATGGCCGACACACTGGTCTGGTCTTAGACTGCGGAGCTTCGTGTGCCTCTGCTGTCCCCGTCTATGATGGTCGGGTTTTACTCCAAGCTGTTGTCCGCACTCCACTCGCAGGAGACTTTGTCACTCGTCAGTGCGCTAAACTAGTAAAAGAGGAGCTAAAAACTGAGCCGATTCCTTACTATAGGGTTGCGTCGAAGGTAATTTTGGTGCTTCTTCATTTATGGTATTGTAGTTGACCGGTATTTATCTTCTATACATCCACCTTACCAACATTATTTACCCTATTTAGTAGTACAGACGGTTACCTCCACAAAACGAAAGTGTGCCTGTATTAATGTTCATCTTTAACTTACCATGGGCTCACATCACGGGAGTCTACTGCAAATTAATGAGTTCTTTTGATCTAACGCAGCTTCGCTTGATATGTTTTACGGTTTAAAATGACATAACTTACTCGTGTTTCGGTTTCCGACATTTCGAAAACCACGATTTTTGTTCTAAGGAAACTTTATTTACTACCAGTTAATCAAATAATCATGGTTTTTATTCGCTTTCGTTTTCTCATTAGGAACCCGTAAAAGACCGAGAGCAGCCACGGTGGACTGAAAAGAAGCTACCTCATCTCACCGACTCATATAAAGCTTTTATGGAGCAGGTCTGTACAATACTTGTTTTTTTTTATTATTGCAAATCCCAATTGACAAATATTTTATGCTTAACACTACCGATTGGATTGCTCCATGGGCGTCTACATTATCTCCTCCCATCCTGGTTTTTCCCAAAATATCTGTAGCACATTGACAGTTGTGTTTCAATGTACATTTCTATATTTTTATGCGATGACGTAACCGTGTGTCCGATTTAACCACAAACTAAGCGTACACAATACCTCCTTCATAGGTTCCAACTATTCACCAACCGATTTACTACTTTTAAATCGTTTTTTTTCAGAGCCTTATGGAGGACTTCAGTGCCACAGTGCTGCAGATTTCTGATGAACACTACGATCAAGGGTATGCAAGTGTTTTTCTAGCCTAGTGCAACAATTTGGTGTGGTGTTTATAATTCTGCCAAGGTGTAATCGGTGACGTGTGCGTACCTTTACAGCTATCTGTCTTCTATCCTCTTTCAGAGACCAGTAAACACGCAGAAAAGTGTTTAGTTGATTTTATTAAAAGTTTCACAACGCGCGATAGCCAATCGCTTTCACCATATGGTTTAATGTCTTCTTTGGCAGAGCATGTTTTCAGAATTTATTTGGACAAAATCAGTAGAAGCGGATTATTCGAGAGGCCTATCAATTTTTTTACAATGGGCCCTTGAAATTATTGATTTATGAATGTGAAACATTCCATATGCTTTTCGCATTCTATAAACATCACTAACTTGGATTTGTTTGTTCTGTTCTGTCATGCACACTTGTGTGATTAAAAGTGTTTAAAGGCACTATTTCCATATTTTAACGTCATTTTAAAATATCAATACTTTTTTGTGCAATCAGAAATTGAGAAACCACGTTTCCTCGCTTGTCGGCTATTAAACGACCTTATACAGTAGCTATCCTTGTTGTTTCTTGTCTGAACCTTGTTGTGCATATTTCGCTATTATGCGCGAATATCAGTTTAGGCTACAATTCGTCTGTGATCTCCGTTTGCGACATCTTTACTTAATTGTATTAAGCAGTATTTTCATCACATAATTTGCCACCGGCAAGGTTTTGTTTTGGTTGAGCTAGAGTAGCTGCTAGTGGTCGGAAGTCAATGCCCACGATTATACATTCACTAACTTTGCCTCGATACTTTGAATCTGCGTCGCATTAGAAATGCTCTATTCGTCATAACACTTTGATCAAAGCTAGTTGTTTGCATGTTTTTACTCGTTGTTGAAATTGTTTTTTTACCTCGTATGAGATCTCCGATTTTTTCCAACGTATTCGAACACTGCTTAATCGAAACGTGGCATCTCAAATGAGTCTCACTGAAAGCTTTTTTATACGAAGTGTTACTCTTGTTTAAGTATTGCTTGTGGCGCGTAAGGACACGTCGGTGTCACCTGCGCTGGACGAGTGTCGCCAGAAGCATACACATCACATTACTTTTATTTTCAATATCTTAGATTCAATATACGCTAGCTGAAGCGGCAGTCCATCCGTAGCAATTGACCTGCGACTATCATTATTAGTGTTGAGATAATTTCATTTTAGTCAAATGGAGACCATTCCAACGATATCGTATGAGTTCCCCAATGGCTACAACGTAGAGTTAGGCCATGAGCGCTTCCAGATTCCAGAAGCCCTCTTCGATCCTTCAGTTTTGCCGGTACGTTTTCAATATATTTCTATCCCTTAGCAATGTGGTGGGAGTTCGGAATTGTCGATGAGTCACATCGTCGCCAGCAGTGTCTCCTTGTGTGATATTGACATCAGACCGGTATGGTTCATATTAATTTTGATTAGCTTCTAGAATTTGTACAATAACGTTGTCGTCGTTGGTGGTACCAGCTTGATTGTTGGCTTTACAGACCGCCTCCAAAGGGACCTTAGTTTGAAAACGCCATCGGTAATGCTGCTGAATTGACTAAATCCCTTTCAGAGCATGCGACTGAAAGTCAACTTCCCCAGTTCACTTCTAGAACGAAGGTTTTCAAATTGGGTCGGAGGTTCCATTTTAGGCTCCTTGGTAAGCACTGCGCTCATATTAACTAATTTCGGCATAGGGTACTTTTCAGCAGATGTGGATTTCTCGGCATGAATATGAAGAGTCTGGGAAGTCTTGTGTTGAGAAGAAGTGTCCCTGATGCGCTGAATTGGTGTATTTTGTTTTTTATGTAAATTCGATGTGTTTGTTTAATCGAAGTAAATACACTTGTTTCGACAACAGCTCACCATTTAAATTTTTGGGCATTGGGATATTCTTGATTGGTTGGGTGGTGTGCATACCAAGGTAAAGGTTACGTTCTCATTCTTACGAATTAATTCGCATGCGGACTTTTTGTTGATTTTATTATTTTATCCATGCGCTGGCATTGCTATTAATTGTGTCGAGAATCATGTCAACATAACTTATACTTTCTAATTCTTTAATGTGCTGGTCCTTTTGAACAGACATCATTCGGAAGTATAAAAAAATTTGTATCTGTTCTAGTAAAATAATCGCTTATCTTATGCGGAGTTTGCATTTGGCATTTATCAAACTGCTTTCGTCGCTAGCATTATTTTTTACTTTAAGATATATGACTTTCTGAACAAATATTTCTCCTTAAACTAACTGGTTTCGTAATGTCGTTTAAAACATTTTTAGTTGATTCCACTGTTGATTCATACTTATCCGTTATTCTACTTTCAACTTTCCTCTGTGCAGATTATTACACTGTAGGCTTTCACTACATCATCACTTCACTGAATCTTAGTGTTTTTGTGGGATAGCGTACTTATTTCACGGAAAACCTGTACGTGGTGGTAACGAAATAAGAAACCCATGATTTTATCTAAGTTTACCATTGATTATCGTGAATTTCGCCTCATTAATTGCGTATATCACCTTTTGAGTTATGTTGTCAGTTGCGTGGTCTTTTTAGACCTTTATAGTGCTAGTAGAAATAAATTTTTTTACTCGTATCAAGGCTTTCCGCTGCTAACGCCTAAGTCCTGACTTTTGTGTCTAATGTATCTTTTTTTCCAATACAACTGTTAGTCGTAGACTCTTTATCAAAATGTATGGACATTTTTCAGATTTTGTTCACTTTCTCGTGTACTCTTTACTCACCACTGTAAGGCCCCTTTGTGTCCATTTTTTGTGCTCCAATTATTAATTTTGAAAAATAAAATTTTGGATGCAAGCCGCCAATCAGATATTCCCATGATGCTCTGCCTGTCCCACCACTTTTAACATCAACTAAACTTATTTTCTGCAAACGCCGATTATATTCCAACACCATAGTGTTCATGGCATATTTGACTTAGTTGTCGCTCCTTGTTTCTGTTCAGGTGAAGTTGAACGTAAAATGTCGTATTTTTCGCCTTGATGACACAAATCGAGTTTCTTAATGATAATGTGCACGACTTCCACCAAGTCGATTTATTTGCGCCCTTTTACGACTGAGTCTTTTTCTTTGATGATAAACATCGCCGCTTCTTTGCCATACCTTCCATAATTGGTCTTTGCGCTTCATATTTCACTAAATTGTCCATTTGAACACAGTGGTCTATGTAACCTCTACAGTACTGGTTCCCTATTTAGGTAATCATTTTTAAGTGAAACACTAAATGCCTTGACAATTTTCTCCCATGCTCTCTCTCTCTCTTCTTTTTTGCGTGTGCTCCTAAGTGCGGTTTTGCGTATTTTTTCATTATGCAAGCTTCTCTCTTTTGTTGGGTTTCTCTTTGCGAAATCTTCACATGTGTTTGGTTTGCCTGAGCAGCTTATATCACAGTGATGGTGGCGTGGTCGGAACTTAGGATCTGCGTACAGTGTTTGTCTGTTTTATTGCAAGTAAACTACCCGCACTTTAGTATATTTGTAGCGTAGCATCTTCTTTCCAAGCATTTATCACAATTTGAAGTATTGCAGTGAATTCGGTTGTTTCTTATTAATTTTGGGTTTACAATAAACTCTGCCGAAGTTACTATTGGTTGGCTAAAACTCCCTGGGTTAATTTATACCATCTTTTGAAATAAGATGATTTGAGCCACATAACTTTTAGCTATTGCCATCTATCCACATGATCTCACCCGTTCTTTTTTTACCTTTTTTGTAACTTGTCTTCATTATTGCCTTCATGGAAGTCGGAATAATACCTAGCGAGAATCCCCACTGCCAAACCGTTTATTAGTCGATCAATTTTCCCTGTGATGTTCCGTTTTAAATGCCACAGGCCACGGACCGCGTGCTTCTGCCTTGCTTTTTGCGTTCCAGTAAGCGCCATGCACGGGAACACGGCAAAGCCAGTCTTCCCACTTCTGCCTCACTTTTTGTGTTATGCACTTTCGCTTCATGTCCAAATTCAACGTGGTCTGGTGCAGATGTGTGTGTGTGTTCAACTCCACAGCCGGTGTAGACAAACCCCAATGTGGAGACGCGTGTCTTGTGGCTCTTCATCCTTCTCTGCCAGTCATTTCCCAAGTGCCGCAATCTAATTTCCCTAAAGTTCTTTGCCAAAACTACCAATGAAACAACTTATGTCTCTACCACCATCACTACAAGCGTCATTCCTTTACCCTCTGCACACGAAGTCTACGAAATTTGCCACGATTTCGAGTCACAGCCACCAAATTAGTCTCAAAACATGGATTTTCCAATGGCAATTTACTGCTTAACCAAACTTTCGCACAAACGTGACCCATTTTTCGTACCTCTCTTTTTCCTTTTAATAAATTTGAAGCAACAGATTCACAAATTTCGCTTCCTGGTAACAAATGCAGCTACATTGCAATGTGTAACAACGTCTGCAGGTGCAACATTAACGTTTGTTTGATTTGGTAGTGTGACTGTGGGTGGATTTTTATTTGTTCACTTCTCACCGACGCCAGAGTGTTGCCTTTGTCAAAATTTCCGTGATGCAGAGTCCATTCATCCGAGAACAATGACTAGTATGAAATCCATCACTCTAAACTGCTGTTTTCCCGGCTTTGGTGACTGAGACCTTGCTTACAATCCCAATTGGTTGTGGATCAAGTTGGCGCGAAGTTTGTGTTTTTTGATTGGCAACTTGATCGACCAATCCGCCTATTTGAGCCTCCCAGGTCGAAACTGTCCGTCCAAATTTGGCGACACGGGACATGAGGCCAGAGCGATTTCGGGAGTCATTTTGTGGACAATTTGTGAGTGACAACCCCAGCCCAATGCGCCTACGCTCTCACACCCTGCTATTTCTAGACGTCTGGGTCGTAAAAATCTGCCCATGTCCGATTATGCAATAGGCGGGGTGTGGCAGGAGTTCTGGCGCCAATTGAAGGACTCGGCCTCGACCTTGCATTGTTTACCCAAAGTTGGCACCGAAATTTACTAGTCACTTCCACCTTTGCAAAAGATGGTGAAATCTGTGTGTTGAGGTTCCGTAAATACCACTCTTACGAGCGTTCGTGACTGACTCATATAAACTAGATTAAGCTGAATTCGGAAGTTGTAGGGTGATGTTTTGCCTGCATAACACCACCATGTTTTCGAATCCGCTGTCTAACCAATCAGCGTCCTTTCTCGTTGCCTTCTTAGCGCAGCTATGTAGGTGCCCGTTTAACACGATAACTAATGTGCACAGTAATTTACAGTGCTGCTTAGGTAAGTCTGATTCTTTTTTTTTACTTCCGGAACTTGCTGTGGCATTAGTTAGCAAGTCGCATCCATCGTTTGTCACACCTAACCTTGTCAGATTCGGTTGTTGGTGGTACTGCACACGTTTGTCCCCACGCACACCTCCTTCTGTGGCCCAAATGTATGCCGGGATTAGTAACGCCAGAATATTGACCACGCCTGTTCCCTGCCACTCTCGCGAGCGTGCCGTAAGTAATGTCGTGTCTGACGTGATTAGCCCGAATTCCGATTTGACGACTACTTCTGTGGTCGTTATTTGTATGCCCTAATCAGCTGTTCCTTAACTTATTCGACTCCTACCTGATACTGGTTCTGTTAGATTAGCGTCTTAGATGCCTGGACAGCTCTGGCCAATCCAACTACGGATTGGTACCCATTTGACGCCCATTCTAGGACCTGGGTGTAGCCAAAATGCAAACCCAGGGTCAAGTTAGAGGACGTCACACTTCTTTTTAACTTGTAGAATCAGGTCCAGTAAATTGATCCGGCAATACAACCGTCACCACCACCAGCACCGCAATTTTCACCAATAATGAAGCGCAAGTCCAGCGAGAGTGTGCGCATGTCGGTCCCGCATGCCTCGTCGTTCGAGATCACCATAACAGAGCTCCAACGGCTCATGGAGATGCGTGGTGCCTCCGGCGTGAAGTTCCTTAAGGAACGCTATGGCGGCATACAGGAACTATGCAAGAAGCTCAAAACATCCACCCACGACGGTGAGCAGTGGGTCTCTTCCCCTGCTTTCTCATTTGCGCTACTCTCGTGACCTTGGTGCGACAGGTGTTGGTTCGACCAATGGTGTCACGGCTTTTAGTTCGGCCCACTGCCAAATTGAATTCGCGGGCTCGGTTTGTTTAAATGGATTTTATTGCATCAACACAGCGGGATATTTGAGGATAACTTGTTGTGTTGCAATGTTCCTCATCAGTAATTAGGTTACGGGGAGATTAGACTTCGCGCGAAAACTCGATTCGTTTGAGAAAAAAAAGCTACAAATCCACCTGCTGATTACGAACCAGACAACTCGCCAATCAGATTACGTGCTTACCCCCTCGAAGTGTGTGTGTGTCTATGTGGTGTAGTGAAGTTGAGCTCAGAAGCAGGTAATCGTTGCTTTAAGCGAGCACCAGGGAGACACATGGCTGTGATTGGCTGTGCAACAAAGTCACCAATCGCATCGGCAATAGCCCTCTTTCGTGTGCCATGTCCTGCAACCGTGACAGCGGCCTTGCAGGCGTAACGACTGCAACACCAGAATTGCCCTGCATAGAATCGCGCGGATTTAATTATAAGGCTGTGCAAGCGAAAAAAACAGTCTGCCCTCTTTTTCGTAATGCTAATTTCAGTCTTACCACCTCAGAAACTAACTGTTATCTGCGTTTTTCGCGCAAACGACAATTTCGCCCCTCCCTCCACCCCCTAGGCTGGCATTTACTGCCGATTCGTTCTAGAAAGTGCCTGGTATGTCGTAACCTCACTCAGTTCCGTGCTCAAATGCCTGCCTCTTTCTCGTCTACGCGCAACATATCATGTGCCAGCTTATGCAAATCATTAAGTACTGGGTTAGGCTAGCTGCATATGGTTAATTCTGCGTTACTTCGTTTGGCTTTAAGCAGTTATAGGGCAAAGCTGGACAGGCGACTGCGTGACCACTGTCTAACCACAACAGATTAAAACTAATTGTGATGGCTTTCCGTGACAGAATTGGGTGCTGGAATCGCTTGCACGCCGACTGATAGATGCGTGCTTTGAAGTGCCACAGTGTGTGTGTGTGTGTGTGTGTGTGCGGCCGGTAGACGTTGAAGATGACATGGCGGAGGGACGGGGGGTGTAAGATTAAACACTCTGTTCAGGTATGCACCCCTGCCATGAGTCACATTTCAGTGCGCGACTGCATCCGCGCGTAAATAATCGCCCTCTAAGCAGCGTCTTAAACCTTAACCCCCCCCCCTCCGTGTCATTACCCACGTAACCACGGCTACCTGGTGTGTCGTGTTTGATTGGATTAGTTTATGCCATCATCAGGCCTCGTGATCCTGTGTTATGTTCCTCCCAAAGGGGTTGTACGGTAGACTGACACACTGCTCTCCCAAATTCTCATCCATCCATGCCAAGATAATAGCTGAATCGGCGTGATGTGTTCATGCAAGAGTTGGTCCTGGCACGCAATTCGATGACATGGCTGGGTTATTTACTCGTGTCATGAAAAAATTCCAAAGGAAACAAATTTGTTTGAATGTCATCAGGCCTGCAAGCCAGGAGCGGGTGTTTTTTCTGCCAAAATAAAACTGTGCGTTTTCGCCAAACTCCCGTCTTTAGCAGAGACAGGGAACTGAGGGTGTGCGTAGTTCGTGTCTGGAAATCACCAACCTATTTTGGAACGATAAATGTCACAGTCACGCCTCCGCTGCTGGTTCGCGCTTGTGTCATTCGTCACCAAGCCAAGCCCTCAACATTTTGCGCATTCGACGGGATGTTGGCACACGGGTGGTAATCGGTTGCATTCTTGGGTCCGTGGGTTCTGGTCCACTTCTTCGTGCAGAGAGTAACTGCGTCTGTTGTGGGCCCCAGCATGTGGTCTTTAACCACCCCCGGGCCACGGAATTAACTCTGGCCTGATTACGCTTGCCTGGTACCCACGATGAAGAAAAAGATCGGAGAGGACGTGGACACAACCGTTTACCTTAGAGCTCAGCTACGTTGGTGTCGTGTGTGAAGGGGTTTGCGCGTGTGTATTTATACCTCAGATGCGTGAGTCATACGTGCGCTAACATCGAGAGCTGTGTGTTAGAATAATCCTAAATAAATAGTGTGAATGAGGGCGGAGTTGAGGCTCCGCGCGGCTGGCGACATGCTGCTAAAAGGGGGACCCTGTGTGGGAGGTGGAGCGACCGGATTAAGGGGGTGTGAATAAACACGATTCACAAGACGTCATTTGTTTGCTTTCTCTTCACCCAGGTTTGTCCGGCTCTGACTTCCAGGAGCGGCGGGAGACCTTCGGAACTAACGTGATCCCCCCGAAGCCGCCGAAGCGTTTCTGCACTCTGGTTTGGGAGGCCATGCAAGATGTCACCCTCATAATTCTCATCGCAGCCGCCTTCGTCTCCCTCGGTCTCTCACTCTACACGAAATGTAAGCGCGCCTTGTGTCTTTCTTCCACCTTTTTCCCCGTTTTGTCTTCCTCGGCATCCCGTGGTGGCATTCCGGCCGTTTCGAGCTCAAATTCGGCCGATGCAGCAAACCGCGCTAGTCTTTCCAACTGCGATCAGAGTTGCGTCATCATCACCGCTAATTGCCGCCCAATCGCACTGACTCTCGTCGTTAATCCCACGCGAGTAGAGTGACCATGCAACAGAAGCTTAGCGTGCCGCCCATTTGATCTACTCCCTTGGATGTTCTCCCAAGCGTCTGACACGAACATTATCACACTTTGGCACACAAATGTGTATTAGTGGGATAACGATGACTTCAAGAGACGACGTTGTCCATGTGAACTGTTTTGGCAAGGATCTGGCCTCGTCAGCTTACCACGGTCGGACATCGCTCGAAGTGATCGGTCACCTGGCTTAGTTGCCATTTCTGTTTTTCCCATAGGTGTCGTCAACCCACGGCTTTTAGAACTTTCAGTTACTATAAATAGACGGCATTCATACTGAGCCACTCATCTAGCTTTTAATATTTTTTTGTTGTGACATTTTTTTTGTTGTGGGCCCCAGCATGTGGTCTTGAACCACGCCGGGGCCACGGAATTAACCCTGGCCGGATTACGTTTGCCTGATGCCCGAGATGAAGGAAATAGGCCGGAGAGGACGTGGACACAAGCGTTTACTTCAGAGGTCAACCAAAACTGGTGTCGTTGTGTCGTGTGCGGTGTTTGCGCGTGTGTATTTATACCTCGGATGTGTGAGTCATACATGCGCTAACATCGAGACCTATGCGTGGGGACACTCCAAGATAAATATTCGGGCTAATGAAGGGGGAGTTGGGGAATCGCGCGGCTGGCGACATGCTGCGAAAAGGGGACCCTGTGTAGGAGGTGGAGCGACCGGAATAAACAAAATGACGTTGTCAACACCCACCACGGAACTCCTCTCGTGTTCTGTGCCATCTGGGTGATCCACTTGTCGTGTTCAAGATCACGCCTCGCTTTGTTCTCTTGCTTTTCTGTGTGTGTGTGTGTTTCTCAAATGCTCTCAACGCCTTGCATTCCTTGTTGAATGTCAAGAGGCGCACGTGGGGAATTCAACGACCTGGATGTGACAGGCCGAGCTCACGGTCTGCGAAAGCTCTGGTGTTCTGTTTTGTTGTTTCCTTTTTCGCATTTCTCAATCACCACACTCGTCATTTCCAAGCATATTTTATGCTTATCTGTTAAGCTAAACCTCGCGTGCACCACGCGAGATAACATCTTGCCGAAATGCATTCTAAGGCTATTCGACCAGTGGGTGTTTTGTCGGCAGAATATACCGGCCCAGCAAATGGGTGGATGCCAAGTAATTTTAGCACGAGTTGTTCGAATTTCCGCCGGGTCCTGCTTGTGCGATGATTCTGTCGACTGGGTTGCGGTTAGGTGTGTCTGAGTTAAGGGATCACAGGGTACCTCTGTGCGGACACCCAGTCGCGGTGAACGGAGGAGATGCGTAAACCCTATTTACCCACCATTTAATCCACCAAACAGTGACTGCAGCTGTCGCCTCGTCTGCCAAGTGCGTTTGTAATGCCAGCAGCATTTGAAAATCTCGCCTCTTTGATGTGCTTGAGCCGTGGCGGTTAGGCTACGCGTCGCTTCGTGGCCTTGTTTTTACCCAGTGGCGTTTCATTCAGGTTTTCATGCAAACGAATTAAAATTATGCCTCTGGTATCAACCCTTATTGGGTAATTTTTCACTACCGGCTACTGCAGATTCCGCGCATAGAAGATGGTTCTGGGGTTGTAGGCCATAGTAGCACCTCGTCCTAGATGACCTCTCACTGTCGAAGCTGCGATTAATAGCGATTGCCAATTCAATAAACACTCATTGGTGGTTACGGGGGCGTTTATAGAATGTGTGGACCATTGGTGCACCTGGGTACTAGTCTGGTGGCTCAGGATTTGTGCTTGTGACGTGTCGCGTGAGCCTGATGAAACGTGTTTTTCCTCAAACGGCCCTTAATTGATGCTCAGGAGCTGAGTCTATGCGGAAATATTAATTGATCTAGCAAAGACGATGCCGGAGGCAGACTACGACTTGGCCAATATTGTGGCTTGGAAGGGAGTGCAGTCTACTTCAGGTTACTGACACCAAGTGGCCAAACAAAAGAAGACACTCTACCGGAAGGTGTCGTGACTCTACCCTGGCGATAAAGCTAGACCACACGTTGTCATGGTGATATGGCCTATACAGTTGTAGCTTGACTGAAGCGCTTTACTTCGTCCACTGCAAAGGTGGGTTCTTCTAATCTCGACTGCAGTAGGTTCTTTTTGGGGATTCAATCGCTGCAATTAAAAACTCGGCCGCATCGATGGGATGGGTCGTTTGCCTGCAGTAATGAAGCCGTTGTCAGAAAAGAATCATAGACCGATATCGATTAAAGGAATTTCTGTGTGCCCAAACAAGGTGGTTTTGAGCAAAATGAACGAGACAGACTTCCACGAGTTCTGTGTAAGGTTAAACATGATCCTCCGAAACAGGTAAGCGTGATGATCGAGTGACGAATGGGAGTAATCACTCCATCTGATGACCACCAATAGGATTAGCCCTACTTAGCCTGTGGAAAATGAGCAAGTTTTTGCTTGATAATTCTTTCAAAAAAAGTTGTATTGGGTGGTTTTACTGCCACTGCTGCTACTGCTTGTTTGTAGTATTCCTTGGTTGTATCTGTTCACGTGCGAATTGAGCCTGTCAGCGCTAAGGCACCATCGAACCCAGGATAACTTGCTCTTGTCATGCTTTGGAACGTGGTAGCATCGCTTTGAGTGAGAAGGAATCGCCTCCACGACACGCAATGTAGACTAATTCACGTCGAAATACCTCCTATGGGGGGTTGCTCTCACTCCCCACGCAGCTACCCACACCGAAACTCCACTGATGCCCTGAGCCTTGACGATAGTTGTTGTTTTTTTTGTTTTCCTGTCCTGCGCTGTGGCTCTCATTGTGTAATTAATTCTTCATAGGGCTGATGAGCGCTGCCTTGTCCATATGCGATTAACCATCCAACCCACACTAGTGGTAAATAGGTAACATTTGGTGCAGAATGCGTGTGGACGAAGCAACGACCAATTGGGACTCAAATTCCTACACTTTACGATTAACTGACCAACAAAGCTGCGTCAGGTTAATCCCCAGCATTTAGTCGATAAATTCGTAAATTTTGCATCAAATACGTTGAATTGCAGGTAGCCAGGATGCATTGAGGACAGCCTTTGGGAGTGCTGATCATCTCCGTATCGATTTTCTCCCCACGCTAATTCCAGGCTCTTCCCTGTTCCAAAAAATCTTGGCATTTTTATTTCCTCTTAGATCGAGAAAGTCCCGCGGAACGCGGCCAGAAAAAGTACATCGGCCAAACTGGGGGTCAGTTGGACTAGCTAAAAGCGCATGCCGGAATTAGTTTGCATGTTAAAATTAGCGTGGTTGTTTTTTGTGTGTGTAGCGAGTCATTGTCCACTGCTGTTGCCTCTTTACCCTCGACTTGAGTACGCCTTCTGTAGTTGGTTTGTTATTCTAGCTGTGCGTCCATCTTCAAACGATGCCGTTGCAGAACGGAATAATCTTAAATTGAGTCGCAAAACCACGTGGCTTTAGGCCGACAGTTAAATTTCCCACTTTACTCTACTTGGGTGCAACGTGTGGACACTTTTATTCCCCATTTAGCAGTGAATTCCACGGTGATTCTGGTTAATTGCTCTGTTACTAATTTTGTGCCTGTATTGTGCTTTTTGCGTTTGATTTACTTTTTGATAGGGACACGAAACGGCATTTGTTCACGTTGCCTGCGTCGACCGCGCCCCCCTTATTCCCAGTTGATTGGTCAAGCCTGTTGTTGACCTTGCTCTAAGGTCACGTACATCAATAACCGTTTCCAAATCTCTCTCCCCCTCCCCAGCCATGCTAAATGGTTAAACTCGGCGAAAGCGATTTTAAAACTGTCTTGTTTTTCGCTGCCCCTTTCTATGGCGGATGATTTTTGGGTGTGCGTAGGATGACTGCACTTTTCAAATAAGATTTTCGGAAAAGTTGTCCTAGTTTTCTGCCCCCTCCGAAATGTGAAGTCTTCGCTGTTGACCTTTATCTCTCGTGCCATCAAACTTGCAACGGCTTGCTTGTTTCCAGCTTCCTCCGACTTTTGAAGCATTCAATTCGATCTTTTGAACAGCCATCGTTGCAGGTTAACGCCTGGTCGTTCTTCACAGCCCGTAGTCGTACGGTTGATGGGCCTCTCTGCTTGTGGTCTTTCGATGAACCTCCTTCAACTGATCCATTTTCCTTCTTTACTTTGAAGTACTGCTCTCGTGATCACGTTCACTTGTACTAACTCATCTTACACTAAGTTTACCAACAGGCGCCTCGATACCAGTCAAAGTTAACAACCACTAACCTGCAGGATGGTAGGCAATTCTCTAAACACTCAGCTGACACGAGTTCTTTTCAAAAGACTAGCGCTCGTCGATGAGTCATTGCGTGTTATAACCCACCAAGTCCCAGGCTGACGTAATCGCTGAATTATGCGGGTGCCCGCTGTGAGGTCTCGTGTGTGGCTGTCGCCTTGATCGGTGCATTTTTTATCGGCAGACCACGTTTTAGTCCGGCATCACCGAGATGTGCCCACATCGGTTAAGGTCACCTCGTGCTTTCTGGTTGGTCCAGGGTTTTACACCAAACCAAAACGTGTCTAATGTTAGCCTCATTGTTTGAAGTTGATAAAACCAGACTGGTTCTCTCTAATTTGACCCTAGCAGAAGGGAGTTATCTTGGGTTTGCCTTTGCCTCTGTGTTTAACAACGCCTTTGTGGTGTTTGGTCATCATTTGTCTGCAGGAGCAAACGATATTTTAGTCGCTCGGCTCTGAATTAGGCCGACTTCCGGTCTCACTGGCCTGCCATTTTAAACATCCAAGCCTGTCTTGGGCCACTTTCGCTCTCTGACTAATTATTAATGCCCCGTTTCTATGCCAACGTTGACCTACTGTCCGCCCTTTTTTCCAGATGTCTGACCAAATAACGGACTATATTTTTAGTCAAGATTAGGTAGCTTTGGTACACTACGGATTCCCATCCAGTACAGGCCTAATTTATGTGCTTAATAGCCTATCTCCTACCAGCGTGATATCTTCCCCTGCCGTTAAAGCCGGAAAGGAATTCTTGAAATTACGCACCCCTCTTACCTGATACTTGTTCTTTCTGTGTCCGGTGCAATGGACCTCTTATCCGCGTCTCAGAGTGTTCCTTCTCTACGTACTTCATTTGCGCAGTCAGTGCCTTAGGACATTTACTGCTTTGATTTGCGGTCTCTCTACTAATGCCCCCGGGAGTGTGTGTGGTGGTGGTGGTTAATGATCACCTCGGCGATTTGCTCGCGCATGCACCTCCCCCACGAGGTAGGCCCGTCCTACAACCCCACCCTCTGTCATCCCCGCACTCCCACGTCCTTTGCCCCGCCCCGCCCCACCCCATCTACCGAGTGTATACAAAGCCTTGTCGTCATGGCAACGCAGCAACAAGCTTCGTCCTTTCTTTTGTAGCAGTAATAACTCCACCATTGTTTAGTGTTCTGCTTTTCGCTAACCCAGTGTTGGTCCGGTCCAGTACCGTCGTGATACGCTAGTCCCTCACGGAATCTCCTAACAACCCCCTAGACTCTTCGGTGACCTTCTCCGGGGTTCGTTATCCACGTCAATGTGACTCAGCCCCCTTACCTGTCTCCTTCCTGGGGTCGTGGAAATTGCGTGACGGGCCGAAAGTCTTCGGCACTGCTTTGACACTTCCACTACTCGCTGCTTCAAATCAGGCTGATCTAGTCGCAATCAGGCGCCAGCGACTCGCGTTCCCGTCTGCGTCCGGCCTCCGGTGACACTTGACGAGCTCTCTTTTGCTGCACTACCCGACACGTGGTGTTTTTTTGCTTTTGAGGTGCAGAAAAATCCGAGGAGCGTTTTATGCCCAAAATGGCGCCAGCGTCACTTTTACGTGTCTGTGTGGGAAGTTGGTGCATTCGTCCAATTCCACTTACTTCTAGTTCGCTAGAGTGGTCACAGCAAGTTGCCGTCAAAAATTCCTCTGTCCTGTCCGCGGCTGTGTGCCGTTCGCCCACTGGGCACGCGTCACTTAAAAATCTTGCTTGCATACTTTATTCACATCGCAAAGGCTGCGATGCCGCGCCAATTGGATGTGATTAGGCGATTGCATTAACACGCCTGAGCTCTCACTGTGGGGTTTTGAGTTGCGCTTTTTTGCATAAGTCTCATCTAATGTGAGTCTGCCTGGCGCAAAGTTGCACAATATGGTGAATTGTCGCCACTTCAGTTGTTAGCCTGCTGGTAAGAATTGGTAGCACTCGTTTTGCTACTTCCGTTGGTGCTTCATTGTGTAGTTAACCTGTCTAGAGCCATTCAAAGATGCGCGATCACGATCTCGATCCTTGTCAGATGGCAACTTTTAGCTCAAATAGAGGGTGAAATCTCGCAAAACTTGGCTTGCGATTCTAGGGTTTTAGGTCATGGCCGCGTGCCAAAGCACCTGTTTGTGTAAACCTTCTTTAAGTCTGACCAATTGCTCTCATTGTTTGCCAGCGCGACTGACTCAGTCTTCTGAAGTACAGTTAACGCCTTTTGAGTGCCTTTTTATGGATGAGAAAGAGATTTGTCTGTCGTTCTAGCAATTCTTTTTTTTAATTGCGGGACTCTGAAAGCCCTCTTTTATTGCTGTACCTCTTTACACCACCCCTTGTGGTCATTTTGCAGTTCATGTGACCCTTCTTTTCAAGTTAAACGCTAACTTCTATGGCGAAGCGAAACAAGCGTGTGAGCAATCACATGTTGGCCGAGAAAATCTGGATCTTCCCAGGTGATTTTAAGTAGTTCTACGACGTCCCCTCGGATCGTATCTAAGCCCTTCGCGATCCCTGCATCCACATTGTGTGCAGCACATTCAATCTCACCCAAGACTGCAATCACAATTGACTTTCTGTCCAGCAGTACATTACTCCGCACTTGGCTAGTCATAATTTGTGCATTTTTATGCAGATGGGCCCTTCTGTGGTGACCCAGATTTCTCCACCAACTCGCTTCTGTTCTCTCTTTTACCTCTAGCGATGTTGTTATTGCCATTTCTTCGTACTCTACATCAGGTTGTCCAATAGAAAATCTCTTCCCTATCAGACAAATTAGTTCCGCCTCTCCAGCCGCTGTCTCCACCCAACTGATGTCACAATCACGCTTTCCTTAATTCCCGTTATATCAGTCCTCTTTCGGTGTGTGTTTGGTGTAATCTCGATTAATGTAAGGCCTCGCAGCCATTTACATCGGCATCGTAGTTACCAATGTGGACAGGTCCTTTTTAAGTCGTAGATTGCAAGTTTGTGCTGTGTAGGTGTTATTTTTTATAGTAAGCAGAACCACACACTCGGGTAACCGCTACCCAGATCCATCGTCTGACGCTAGACCCTCCACTTTCCCAGACAAGATCTCGAGCGTTTTGTTTGGATGACCTTCACCTGGTGGACTAAGACGGATTAAAGAGTAAAGAGCCGTAGGTGACTAACCCGCTGAAGTGGCGTGGTTAGGGGAGTTGTGTTGAACACCGACCAAGTCCTGACTCGCGATGGGCCGTCTTGGAGAATGCTGCAGACTTTCCCATGTCCGGAGAATTACGCCTCTGATTCGTTGGAAGGAGAGTTCCATGAAAGCACATATGCCCTCAGAGAAGATTCGGCTTCTTTTGAGGCGGGACGTAAAAGATCCTGCTTGCAAATGCTGGTCCGCAGTCATGCGAATCAACCGCCGTCCGCTTACCGACTCTCACCTTACATCTAAGGGTACAAAATCCAAACGATCAGCGAATGCGATGAAACGCAAAAATGCCCACACACACTAGTAGTGGCTTGGGTTGGTTGCAGTGTGGATGTCTAAACTGTGGGAACCGTACCACTTTGGCGGTAATTTTATCTCCCCTGTGAATTGCCATTTTACAGAAGTCGTCAAATGACACCCATCTTCCTGGCTTGGCGTAATTTGCATTGGTGGAACACATCCCTTGGCTCCTTCCATTCACCAATCTGTTGTTCCGAGTTGAGCGAAATAGCGATCAGCGACTTTGCCTCCTTTCACACACTACGTACCTCAATACCCCGGGGCAATCAGCTAACTTGTTTCGCTACTGCTCACCGACGAGCAAATTTCGTTTTCGTAAACTGCAAGAACAGCACTGCTTTCCGGAGGCAGCCAATCAGGATTGCTGTCATTTCATTCTGTGGCTTGAGTTTTTCACTTTCCTGACAGTGTAACTGTCTAAAAATTGCGATTTAAGTGGATTTCTGCGTGGCGCGGGACAGGAGGCTTCCGCATTTGTGTGATGCAGAAGTCCACTTCTGATGTCCCGTCACCTCCAACTGCATTGTGCTTGGGCCAATTTTTTAGTTCCTTTTGACACGCGACAGGCGAGTTAATGGTAGCCACGCCTTTTTACTCTAGTTAAAAACTATTTTGATATTTACAATGGCAAAAACAACGGGATTTATTCGACTTTAAAGTCACCTGGTAACCTATGATTTAGCAAGTTGTTAAGAAATCGCATCTCAAGTGTGCGCTGTTTGTTGCATTCAACAGTTTGCTGTCGCCGTTCATGCCGATTTCAAAACCAAACGTAGAGATCATTGGTGTTATTCGTCCAGCTGTTTTGAAAGGCTAAGAATTAACCAGCAGCGACAGTGAGCGCCGTCTAAACCGCCTGTTGCTTCACTTTTCTGTAATTTTATAAAGACGTCGACTTGGCGAGTCACGATGAGACGGAAGGCGAGGCCGGGTGGATCGAAGGAGTGGCCATCTTGGTCGCCGTGATAGTCGTCGTCCTTGTTGTGGCCTTCAACGACTGGTCGAAGGAGCGCCAATTCCGAGGTTTGCAGAATAAAATCGAGTCGGACCACAAGTTCGCCGTCATCCGACAGGGTCAGCTAGTGCAGCTTCCGATCGCCGACATACTCGTTGGCGATGTCTGTCAAATAAAATACGGTAGGTGGTTTTTCCTCTGTTCATTTAAACAAACTTTACCCGTCCAATCAGTTACCAGCAATTTACTTGGCAGCTGGTATCGCTAGCATGACTAACTCCCCTGCTCTCTTATCTTATCCAGTCGTGGAATTTATCCACATCTAACGCTTACCAACGCTATTCAGCTCAGTAATTTGCATAAAAGCAAGCACGGTGAGGTGTTTATCAAAGGGAATTCACTCGACCTATTGGTATACCGAATTGACAACGCCATCTCTTGATACCCTCTCTACCGCATGCCAAAACTGCATTTTCACCGTCACACCCAAACACCTCGCCACCAAAAGTCAACCTCAGAAGAAACAGTGTTTGTACGTGCGATGTGCGTCCCAACCAACTCCTAACCACACCTCTTTTCCTGTGCTGGCTGTTAACAAAAGACTCCCAGTTTTTTTTGCATAGAAGTGAAAGTTTGTCAAACCGACGCGAAGTTAAAAAAAAAACCACCAACTCTTGAGCGTTTCGCCAGCGGTCCGCCTTTCTGAGGTGTGTGGTGTTTTTAGTGGTGTTTCAAAACGAACTCCCCCCACCCCTCCCTCTACACATTCTCCCCTTCCACCACACTTTTCAGTTCACGTTTTTTGTCCACTCTTTCTGCGAGGATAATTAACTACCTTGCCAGTTTAGTAAATCCACTTTGTCGGCCAATGGCTCAGCAGTTTGTTGCAAGTTTAAATATTGAGATTTGAATGTCACCAGCGCTGGAGACGCGCTTGGGTTTTCGGTGGGCAACCTCACAACCACCCTCTTCCCCCTCCCCTTATCTGGGCAAAAATCTGCTTCTGCTTAAACCACTCTTTAACCCTTCGTCAACACACGTCGGACGACACTTCACTGTCGCTGCATTTTCGGCCTGAAATGCACAATCCGTTCAAGACAAGAGGTAGAAACGGATGTTCGGCTTGTCAATCGCGTAAAAGCCTTCGTTTATGCCGGGGCATTTCGAAGTTTGGTTCATTACCCCCTCACCTGATTTAATTCGGTCGACCGGATGTAGGTTAGAGGACAATTTGACTTAAATTTATTGCTGACCTCTGCCCTTCCCACCCACCCCCCCTAATCCATCCTAATTTATTTCCTATGTCATTTCTTAACAACTGGATTTTAACTGCCCTTTTTGTTGACTCGTTTCCGCGCTTTTAAAAATTGTCATCGCCATTCGTCAATTTTAAAAACCGCGCCACATTCTGAGGTTGTTTAAACCTTGTGATGAAATTAGCTGCTTTAAATCTTATTCGAATTCCTCGTCGATTATTTCAGCTGACGTACTTCTCGATTGTCACTGCTGAAGGCTTTCATGACCGTTCGGCGAGCGTGGAAGCATAAGATTGTTATCTCAACGAGGCAAAGGTTGCTTTTGGCTAGGCTGCCATAATGGCGCGTCATTTGAACCCGCCACCAGCTATTTTTTTAAAGTTGTTTAAATGCATGACTACACGGGGTTTCCCACGACGACTTCGACCTTGCAACTACCCTGATTATTAAGCCCGTGATTTTGTTTATTTCAGGAGACCTCTTACCCGCCGATGGTATCCTAATTCAAAGCAATGATCTGAAGGTCGACGAAAGTGCCCTGACGGGTGAATCGGATCAGGTTAAAAAAGGCGAATCGAAAGATATTTGCCTTTTTTCGGGTAAGCTCTTGCTCTTTCGCAGTTGTCCTTATCCTTCCTACCTCATCCAATTGGCTGTGTGTTCGGCGGTGGATTCATTTCGCGAGACTGCAGTCACGATTGGTTGCTCAATCTGAAAATCAAAATCGTTTTGCCGGTCGAAAATTCCAACCAACTCAGCCACCGGCTGTAATGAAAGTCCACTAGTAACCGCCTCTAGAGAGAAGATTCGTTACGGGGCTGAATCAACCCTGGAAAACTGTTTGGCCTGCAATTTTAAAAGTCGTGGTGTGCGTAAATCGGAATGGAGTGTCACCATTTGATCGCAATTCAGATCCGGTTCGTTTCAGTAATCGGTAATCATGATTCATTGCTTTTTTGCCTGATTCCCATGATTTGGGGCATGAGATTAGCGTGAACGCTTTTGGGAAACAAATTTGGAAGACTGCATCAATAAGATGAGGCTTGCTCTTATTCAGTTGTATGAAATCACATCGTAATATATCTAAAAATCACTGCATTTTGCCGACTTTTTGTCAAATGACGTGGTTTCAGAAACCCTTAGCAGAGGAATAGCAAATTTCAGTCACCTCCAATAGAATGGCGGGTTCGCTACTGTCCCATGGGTGCCATTAGTTAACACGTTATAACCCTTAAAGCGTGTGTGTGTGTGTGTGTGTGACGGGTGTTATTTATGCTTGTTTAGCGTTCAATTCCGCCAGTTCGCACCCTGTACTAATGCGTCATTGGCGAATGGCGTATCACTCGTTCGGTCGCTTAAATCAATTCTACAATCCCATTGGATGACACTTTGGTGGGGCGAATTAGATCTCACGGACATTCCTGAAATCCGTGTGCGCTTAGTACTTTGAAGCTGACAAAAGTGGTTCCTTCATGGGAATGTTGTGGTTACCCTGACTGCTAATTCCACGGATTGCATTCTTCGGTGTATTCGATACCTGTTTTGTGAGCAGCTGTAGTGCATCTACTACAAGTCGTGTCAGTGGTCGTTGCATCACCCGCACGAACTTGGCTGAGTGTTATATCAATGCTCTGTCAATCCTCGATAACCGATCATCGCCCAACTCACAGAAAAAAGCACATTTAAACTACCTTTGCCTTAATTACCGCACAGTACTTCCTAGTTTGTGGGTTTCTTCGTCAGCGCTGAGATGTCCTTTCCTAGGGGCATGCTATTTGCCATCCATGGCTGCGTCTGTCCACAGGTGGTTGACCTATTAGGATTCAAGTCCACCGTGCTACAGCCAGGCAATCTTTACTATTGCATCGATGCAAATGCCCATCCGATTTATGTTGGCTTTAGATCATGCATTGTGTAGACATTAAACACTTTGTTACACCAAAACCTAACACCAACCAAAATGTTTGGTGCTCGTTGGAAATGGAGTTGGCACTATATTGCAGTCTAACCGTTGTCCCCTTGAAAGGCAGCGAGCTAACTTTCTAGGCCAATTAGCCTGGCTGGCGTATTACTCACCCCTTCAATTAGAGTCGTGCCTCGACAGGTCCGTTCACGCACCTGTGGGACGCCACGTGTCTGCGCCGGTCAGCCGGGCCTGTTGAAACCGGCGCCGTGGGAATCGGCCACCTCGCGCTGCCTGCGTGTGTTGGTCACAAGCATTTGCTCACACAACTTGCCACGAGACGGCCGGGATATCGATTGAGCCCTGGCGAATGCGATGTCCCCAGCCGTCTGAGGTCATCGTGCGCGTTGACCTCATGTGTTTACTGGTGACGTTTACATCCCTACAGCGGTTTTACACGCTCTCTCGATTGGTCTAGCGCTCGATGTAGCGGGCTTGAATCTGCCTCCTGTTCAAATCGATTCTCCAATTTGTATTCGAACAACAGTACCAATGAGTTTGGAAGTGTGTCCGTCTGTAACGGTCAACTCAGATTCGATCGCTCGATGTGTGTTCTCGAGGGAGGTGGAGATGGGAAATCAGGTTTGACGCAGACGACTGTCCTACCACTGCCCCCAGAATCACACACCCGAGTGCCGTGTACCTCCTAACACCTCTAAGTGCCATTCTAGACCTTATTTAATGATTGGAATGTCCTTTATCCCTCCCAGGTACCCACGTGGTTGAGGGCTCGGGTCGCATTGTTATCACAGCCGTCGGCGTGAACTCCCAGGCTGGAATCATCTTCTCCCTCCTCGGAGCCACTGATGAGGAGGCAGAGCGGAAGAAAAAAGACAAGAAGGGTGAGGAGATGTGTGACTTCGTTTTCAAACGTCTTGACATGAAGCTGTTCTGAACTGTGGTTAGTTAATACCTGACCATCGACACACGCTCACACCAAAACCTGTCCAATCGACCATGAGTAGGAAGCTGCCAAGTTACTTTCGTAAACGGGAACATCTTCAAGTATGCCTTGATAAATGCGACCCTTGTAGTTTGAGTAAAAGGCCGCCTATAAGTTTCGTGTTTGTAGCAAGTGGCAGCACTAGCTTTAGATCCGCCCTCAGCGATTCTACCACGTTGTTACGGAGTCTTCACGTTGGATCGTGATCCCTATAATTGTCCCGCACAAAATGCATTCAATGCACGCCTGTTTGACAACGTCGTTCATCTGGTTCATGCTCGTGTGCCAGTTAGTGTCTTCACTAAGCCATCCTGCTCTCGCGAATCCGGGAATGTAGCGAAATGTTCGCATAGGTGCTAAAGCGCACCACAACGCGATGCGTAAAGTAATAATTTCAAATTTCACTAAATTTGCAAGTGGTTAATTTTGCGCATGATATCGTGGTATTGTGCCAATCGCTCATTTCTATCAAAATATTTCCACATTTGAAGCTGCTTTTGCGGTAATCAGGCTAGCTACCTATCTGATCGCCGGATGACTGATTTGTGTGTTGAATCGGTGTGTAAGCTAATGTGACTTATCTGCCTAAGGTAACTGAACTACCCGCAGTAGGTACGGTGTGCCTGAAGTGCTTGCAGGAATCCCAAATCGTGGCTTGTCCGTAAGTCTGCTTTGAGAGCACGTACGTCTTTCTTCCTTCCATACCCTCAAAGCACTTCCCAACGCGATAATCTGTGTTTTGGTCAGTTGTTTGTCACTGTCACGCTTCGCATTTGGTAATTTTGAGGCGGCTGCGCTTAGCTGCCTGTCATGTGTTGCCTTTTTCTTGTCCTCAGCTGAACCCGCCCGAGATTCGAAGAAGAAGCGCGAGTTGGAGAAGATTCCCGAGGCCGTGGCTCTGAAGACCACGGACTCCGAGCAGGGCGGTGAAGAGAAGAAGAAAAAGAAGTCGAAGTCGCGGAAAGAGAAGTCTGTGTTGCAGACCAAACTCACCAAACTTGCCATCCAAATTGGCTACGCAGGTATGCGTGGACTTCCTGCATTTCGGAACGTCCTCTCACTTGTTCTTTTCACCAATCAAGGCCACTTTTTAAACATGTGCACATTTACGTGTGATTTGTGCGAAGGGCATTTTTTGGCCGACAGCTGTTTCCGTCTTCACCTGAGAAGCTGCTATGCCTCATGGATGCCAAGTTGCGGTCACCACGGCAACCGCATTCCGCCAGAACTGTTCTGCTTGGTTTGTGGTAGACAGGCAGCGCCAACGCTTCGAACCGAAGGCCCATTTTAACTAGCCCTGTGTGTGTAGTACTCACTATATGAGATTTTTATCAGATTATTCGCTGTTAAGTGGTCGGGGAATCTACCTAAGGTGCTATTTGAACCGACGAACTGTTCAATTATTCGAGTACTTCTGTCCAAACCATGCTTAAAGCTCGCGATAATTGGGGAAAATGCCGATATTGCTCGAGTTTCCCACTGATCGGTTTCCAGCCAATGATGACGCGCCAAATGTTAGCTTGATTTGCGACTTCTGACAGCTAAGTTAGGGAAGGCATAGCAAAGACTGGCGAGTGCCACTTTTACAAGCGAAGAGGCAAATCACTCGATTCACACACATACCCTCGAATGCAGGGCAACACTCATATACTCTTACACCATTTTTAAGCCATGTGACTTGAGAGACGCATTTTACACGAGCTAAAGTCGAATTTGTGTCCTGGCGTTGGTTTCCGTGTCCATAAAACCCCGTGAAAAGTGGTTGCATTGTTCGTCTTAAAGAAACTTAGAGCCAATCACCTCTGTGCTCACACACACACACACACACACACACTGGCGATCCCTATTTGGCCAGTCGCGATCTTGAAGACATTTGCACACATCGCCTGACTCAATTGTTACCTAGAGGGCAAGGTGTGAGGCCACTATGCGTGCGTTGTGTCCTGTTGAAGTCGACTTCTAAGGCTTTGGATATTTCCAAACACCTCCAACTTCAGGCACTAGATGTTTCCAGAACTGGACAACTGTTAACCAGAAATTGAGCCGGAGGCGGTAATCACTAGGTGTGCATTCACGGCGTCACCGCCGATCTCTGTGAAATACTTAGATTGAAAGCAGACAGGTGGATGGAGGCGTCGAAAGACGTCGGTGTGGAGTTAGTTTACGTGATCAAACGAATTACCACGCGTCTCACTTTGGAGTGGTGTTTTCACCCCCCCCTCCCCCAGGTACTGCTGTCGCCGTGATCACGGTTATCATCTTGGTGATCAAGTTCACCGTGACGACGTTTGTGTACGACAAGGAGCCGTGGAACACGGGCAAACACCTGAAGCGCCTGGTCGGTTTCATCATCACCGGTGTGACTGTCCTCGTGGTTGCTGTGCCCGAGGGTCTGCCTCTGGCTGTCACTCTCTCACTTGCCTACTCGGTCCGAAAGATGATGGACGTAAGTTGTAATTCCGTCTGAAGTTGGCCATCTTTCCTCTGCCATCATTTGCCTCCCCCTTCTCCTTCTCCTCCACCTTCTCTCTCTGGCTTTCCTCCTACCTCTCACATTAGTCCCTGGCGTGGCTCCTTGCAAGCAACGCGAGGTAGTCGAGCATTGTCATGCAACAGTGCCAGTATGACTTGCCTTCTTCCTTGACCAGTAAATTGCCTCTTCTGGTCAAGTTCCTTGCTCCATTTGTTCAATTGTCGGCTGTAGCGTTGCGCGGTCATCCATCCGACCATCAGTTTCCAGGAGTTCGTAACAAAGTACACCCTTCATGTTCCCTCACCAGATAGATACACAGCAGTAGTGGAAGGCATGCGTTCATACGTTGAGCTACGTACTTGTGTTCGGTCAACACACGTGGTGGAACCCAACTTCCAAGTTGTTGAATTGTTCCCACTTGGTGTCCACGCTTGGAAACAGCTATTTGGATGACTTCTAACTGAGCTGCTGCAAGCTCTTGCAGCGTTTGTGTTGAGCCTTCATGCAGTAGAGCTTACAGTTTCGCATCTTCAAGCTTCCGAGGCTGATGTACGGTGTGTGGCCGGTCACTAGGGCTGAAATCAACACCTCGAAAATGTTTGTACCAGTAAGTACACGTTCCATAAAACACGACCTCCGCCGCACCAAGAACACTGCAAGTTGATTCCCCCGTGTTTTGGCAGCATTTTGACTTGTTCGGTGTTCTGAAACCATACCTGCGATCCTTTCAAAACCACAACAGACCGCGAAAATATTCCAATTTTAAGTATAATTTTAAGCTCGAAATTTTGTTTTAAAAATTAAGCCACACACCTAACAGTCACTTCTTAATTTGGACTGCCCTGTGGCCTGAGGAAGGGAGGGTGCTGCCTCTTCTGTGCTCATTTTCAGTCCCCCCCTTTACCTCCCTCTTCACCACCCCTGTCAAGTCAGTGTCCGGAATCGTTCCTGATTTGTCGTCTGCTCGCCACCGCGGCAATCTTGTTTTTTTTTTGGTTCTCGTGTTTGCTCCACTTATCTGCCCTCTTCCACTACCCCCTCTTCCTGATTTCTTCATCCTTCAATATCTCGTCTCACGGTTACCTCCCAAATTGTTTGTTGAAATACGAAATCAGTTAATATCAATGAAAGGTTTTAATGATTACACGTCTTTGATGGCTTTATTGATTGCAGATGGATCGATATTCGTCGAAACGATACACCGATCGAGATTTCAGACCGTAATTTAACTTGACAACCTTGTAGTGTATGTGTTTTCGGTTGCTAAAACACCCCGTGTTACCAAATTTAACGCCTCGCGCCGATCAGCTGTTTCTCGGGCCTTTCTGGTATTCGGGATTGTTATTTACCGTGCGCATCAGCCCGGGGGTAAGGGCACAACACACAGGCCTGTGGCACCAGACGCAGCGTGTGTAATTTTCGAGGCCCTGTTTGGGACGAGAATCGGTGTAAGGCGAGCCGAAATGTCGTGCCGGCAAACGGCGACGTGCGCAGCGGCCCGTTTAGGCGCTGTCACAGTCACTCTTCGTTTTAGTGTTGTCAGTGAATGGATTAGAATTGCATCCTAGGGCCTCTAGTCGTGAATTTCCACATTTACCGCTTCAGAAACATTGATTTCGTCACCTAATTTTCAGTCCTTATGGGCTGATGGATTCACATGCGCGTCGATCAAAGCAATGGCTGTGTCCACCTCGATCCAACGACAGCTTGGTGCTCTGCCTGCACTCTTCAAGCTTGGCAACCGACAACCCTGTCTACAACACCTCGCACGCTTTCACTCTCGCCGCAGCCAATTCCAGCTGTGGCAGTGAATTTCTGAAAATTCACTTCGCTAATGTGATGATGGCGGTGTTATTGATGGAAATGCGTTAATAAAAGCGGACAGCAGCACCAGCACCAACAACATTAGCGTCGAGATTCATACCTCAACTTCACTGGTGATTAATCACGAGGGGTTTGTTGGCAGAATTCAAGTGTTGCCAGCCCGTAATTAGATTGTACTAGAATGAGGCTGTGACCTGCTTACAGCTGTCAGCGTTTAAAAGACGTGTGTAGTCTGCTCCGTTGGGGTCATTGTTTGTGGAATTTTTCACTGATACTTGGCAGACTTATCAATCTGAAACCACAATTCAAAGAAAGAAGCGCAATACGCCGTCACGCCTCCCAAACTACTCAGGTCATCACTTGAACCACCAGGAGTTGACCTTCGTCAGCAATCGGGCTGGCTAGTAGGCTGGTAGACACTTGAAAGATGCAGCTTCAGTTCAGATAGGATGCCTTAGACACACATTGACCGGGGGCTTGTGTGAATCACATTTGGGTTGAGTTGGCTACGCGTCGTCGCTGCAGCACACGGTCACAAGTCTTTCGCGCTATCCCAACTTTACCGAAGTCACTCGGCAAAGTGGTGGGAATTAGTTTCGTGGGAACCAGTGTAGCCTGTGTGGGCTAGATACGCCCTCGGCAATTCACTGCTCCTCTCTCTCTCACCTACTCTGTTGTAATGGTTAATTCCGCCTTTTTATCGACTTCTGGTCTGGTGAATTCGGCCTCACTGGCGCGGGGGTGGGCTATTTTAGTGCGTAGCAGTCTCGGTGTGATTCCTTGGCCCCACTGGCATCGACGATCCACGTAGACAGCCAGCACGTCGCTATGTGAAGCGACTTCAAGATCGCTCAAACTCGGCCACGCCTTCGCCCCCAAGTCGGGCGAGCGCGTGGCGCTGCTCGAAGTCGACTGGCAGTGTTATTTTGCGTTGCTATTTTTAGGACAATAACCTGGTGCGCCATCTGGACGCCTGCGAGACGATGGGCAACGCAACGGCCATCTGCTCAGACAAGACCGGCACACTGACCACGAATCGAATGACCGCCGTGCAGTGCTACTTGGGCGGACACCACTACAAGACCATTCCAGCCGGCAGCGAGATACCCGCACCCACGCTCAACTTGCTCAAGCAGGGCATTCCAATCAACAGCGGCTACACCTCGAAGATCCTAGTAAGTAATGATCTGTGTGCGTGTGCGTGTGTGTGTGAATGGGGCCACTTCGCCGACGCCCTAGGTACGGGGCAGTGGATGACGGTTAGGTGAAGTCAGATCGAGTGCTCGCAAGCCGCCAGCTGCAAGTGTTCATCAAAAATGCGATTTATTGTCTAACTCCTTTCCAACCAGCACTATAAAAAGGTTCCTTTTTTTTCCATCATGGCGTCATTCCACTGTTGCTGCAATAAATCAAATCATAGTAAATTGCAATTAAAAAGTGGCGGGGTTTATGTTAATTAAAGGAGATCCATGCCAGGGTCGGGGGTCTGTCTTGAACGCGTAAATTGAAAATTCTGTGGTGGTCGTCGGGCTAGTGTTGCAGCCTGAATTACTCGCAGAGTGAGTCGTGCGCGTTTTTTATAGCGTGCATGCCAGCTAAACCAGTGGCACATAGCTGCCTCAGAGCTCGCAGTTACGAATTTTATGGTCTCCTTAATTACCCTCTGACACGAACTGGGAGGATGGGGGGAGGGGGGAAGGGCAAATTATGGGCATTGATTTTGCCCGATTCGGCTAGGGTTCCGTGTCGCGATGCTGCAGTATTTATTTCTGCATCGGTAATTCACACACACACACACACACCGATTTGTTGGCGTCCCTCAAGTCACCAGCCGTCCGTATTTCGGCCGATCTAGGCAACAGTGTGCACATTGCTCTTCTGATTGCAAGGCTCTTCCTATTGCCGACCGCTTGGATATGCGGTTATGGAGACTGGCTGCTTAAACGCAACCAGACTCTAAAAAAAGCGGTCGGTGAGGGGTAGTGGCGTGGCTAAACGGAAGCAGGACTGCCATTTGTCAGTTCGTGGTCTGAGAAAAGCGAGCCCGGGGCAGTGCCCTGGCAAAAACCCCCGTGAAAACGCTGTCACCCACACTGGATTCCGCTTTGTTTTTATTGCTAACTCCTGGCTCTCTCCTCCCTCTCCACCGAGGTTATGATCAAATCATCCTTCTTGTGACCTAGACGAAATCTAGCACTCGACACTTCTAGACTGACTTATGACCTCAATTATCGATCACTTGAGCTGTAGCCAGCCACCTCTGCTCGTATTGTCTGTACCTATTCAGAGGTGGATGTGCCTTCGTGTTCGCGTCGTTCTCTATAGGAGAGCTCCCTGAATAAAAATGGGTTTTATGACTGAGGATTCGGTGGTTTCCCCTTGCTCTGTATCCTAATTGGCTATTTACTGCGTTTCGGTGATCTAGATTGCCACAAAAACGGAATTCGAGACTGTTTCAATGAGGCAGCTCATCGCGACTATATTCTAAGTGCTTTGTAACCCAATAAACGACGCTTTTTCCGATTTATTTTTGACCTTGAGGGAGTTCCATTACAATGTCCGCCACTGCTCTATTTCACTTCGGACCAGTTTTTGAATAAGTATTATCACTGGTGTTTATCTGCTTGGCTAATCTCGGTTCGCTTCTAGGGGAACAGGCTATTGCCGAATTCCAAAAAAGGCCTTTTCAAGATGTGACAAGGTTGTAATTGCGACGACTTCATCCAAAAGGTTTATTAGACCACTTGGATAACTAGCAACTTCAATCCATTAGTGTTATGATCGTTGGAGCCCAATTGACCATTGCATAAGTGGCGGTTTAAGGAAGCGTTTGTCTGTCTACCTCTGACTGACTTCCAAACTACCCGCTTTGTAGCCACCGCCTCAGCCTGGTGGACTGCCAGATCAAGTGGGCAACAAGACGGACTGCGCTCTGCTCGGCTTCGTGAACGCCATCGGTGGCAACTACGAGGCTGTGCGGTCCGAGTGGCCGGAGGAACTGCTCTACAAGGTGTACACCTTCAACTCCGTCAGAAAGTCAATGAGCACGGTCATTAAGGAGAAGAATGGCGACTTCCTTATGTTCACCAAGGGCGCCTCCGAAATTGTCGTTCGCAAGTGAGTCGCAATTGCAACCATCGCGAGACAATCTTGCATTTTTTTTGCACTAAAAAGCGTGAAATAATGGCTAGTTGTCTTCTGCCGCTGCATGCCTAGTCTCCAATCTCACCCGTTTTGTCGTCGGCGTTTCTGACAGAGACAGTGGTTTCCTGAAGTCTGATATCACTAACAAGCCTCGCCTTTAAGCCAGACCTGTGAAATCAATTCGTCTGCTGGGCTGTTCGTTCTGGTTGCCGTAGTTTGAAGTGTTTCTTTTGTTTCCCGGAATCTGGGTAACAGACACGAAGGTCGCTTGTTCAAGCGTCGGCTACAACACCGTCGGATTCTCTTGTTAGTTCCTGGTTCTTGCAGTAAATTAACATCAATTTTTTTTCGATATTAGATCTAAGTGGATTCTGGACGCCTCCGGAGAGCCCATTCCGTTCTCTGATGTTGATCAAGAAAACGTGACGCAAAATATCATCGAGGCTATGGCTGGAGATGGTCTGCGGACTATTGGACTGGCTTACAGGCGTTTCCCCGCAGGTTCGTTTTGGGTCATTTTGCTTCCTATAATTCCGGACCAGTACTCCAACCACTAAGAGGTTTCTTCGTTGTCACGTTTTCCCACTTGGTGCATTACTCTCTGAGCATAGTCTGTTCTGTTTCACTCGTCCGGTCGGTTTCTTACGACGTAGTTTTTGTGCGAAGCGTTGAATAGTTCCACTGCGGGAGCCTGGAGAAGTTTGTAACGTCGCCCCTCTGTTGCACCGTGGTAATTGTGTGGTCCACCCTGATGATTTCAACTGTCTCCTGGCTTCCCAACTCGTGTGGGTGTCGCTGAGTCATTCTGTTGACTAGCACCGAACATCTTGGCCAAACACCTCCGTTCTTGTCATGCGCAAACTCCCCCATGAGTCACCTCACTTTTCACAAGCGAGCTCATTTGACGTCAGTTTTCCTCACCTGATTTTGGTGCAACACTGGCGTTTAGTTATCAAAAACGCTTAAGCACGAGTGAAGTTACATTCCTTCTTACTGAATCGCTACGCAGCTGCTCGGATCATGTCGATGTGGGGCAGAGAGGCACTCAGAACTTTAATAGATTAGCCTCACTTGTTGTGCTTCGCATACGTTAAGTGGTTCGTGTGTGTGTGTGTCAATTGAAATTTCTCTTTTTTTCATCGTGACCTCTAGTTCGCGGCCCGGTGAGCAATCTTACACGGATAATTGAATTCGTCACGCACTGATTACTGGGAGCGTTAAGACCCTGCTCAATCACGGTCTCTTTGGCCTGTTATTGTGGTTCATTTTTCGCTAAAAAGCAGAAAATCCTCCTACCCAAGCCTCTTCACACCAGTAGCCTGTGATTTATCTCATTTTGTGCTTGTTGATTGGCTAGTTTTCCTGTGAATTCACACTCTAGTTTTTGAATTGAATCATTTTGGCGCAGACTTGACACAAACACCAGTCAATCTGGCAAAAAAAGGCGGACTTTCTTTGGAAATTTGAAACTCGACGAAGCATGTAGCCCGTTGGTTTGTGGATTTAGACAAAAACAAGCGAGTGCGACATTTGTCATCGTTCAGAGCAAGCTGCTTGATCGCCCACGTCTAAAACTGCACTCCAGTGGTGGTCTTTGTGTGAGACAAAACAATTTTCGCTGTTAGCGGGACGCGGTTGAGTGGAAAACTGCCGCAATTGGCCTTTCTGCACCCGTTCCCTGTCCACGCTGCTTCCTGCCTGGCAAGACAATTGCCCAACAGATGGCCTTGCTAGGGCATTCTTCATCTCCGCTTCGCACGAACCCACCCTCACGCTAGCCTCGTGTGAGTTGTTGTGCGCACTATCAACGAGGATAACTCGTGCTCCCCGGCTTACGAGGAAAAAAACCCAGTCTCTCCCCTCTCTCTGTGTGTGTGTGTATGTGTGCGTTTGTTGCTTTTGGCAGCGAAATTACTCAGTGTGTGTGTGCACAGCTACTACTAATAATAGTTTGCAGTAGTCTTAAATGATCGTTGTCACGCAATCCCTTCCAGGCCAGACTCATCACCATGGAGAACTTCACTTATCCGGCTTTGTTTTTGCCTGAAATCACGATGGGGCGGACGGCCAACCATTACGGAGCTACTCTGTTACCCATAAATTGCAGTCTTTTTTTTTTCAGTTGACTGCTAATTGCAAAACAACTTTATCGACAAGTTATCAATCAACCAGTTCCGCTTTTTCTCTGTTCAGATATCCGAAGGTGCTTTAAGCATGTTTTTGCATTTACTCCAAGCAGTTGATTGTTCAGAGCCACCGTCTGAGCCCAGACACACAACCGTTTACTTGATAGCTCAACTAAGTTGTGTTGGTTGCGCCACTGCGTGTAAAAATAAGCCTGATTAAATGGGGTTGTCGATCAGCACAGCTTAATTGGGCCTGTAACGGTTAGCGTGTGGGAGGTACACGAATAGGGATGCGGTGAAAAGGTGGCCAGTGTGGCGGGGACCGCGACATGAATCGGCACAACTCCCTCTGGAATAGGGTTTGTCGTGTATTCGAACTAGGCCGTAAACCGCTGACTCCTTCATGGGTTTGTGTCGACGCTTGTCAATCACGTTGCTTGTGTGTGTGTTTAGGTGAGAGTGAGCCGAACTGGGACAACGAGGATAGTGTGATTTGCGACTTGACGTGCATTGGAATCGTGGGTATTGAGGACCCAGTGCGGCCGGAGGTTCCGCCGGCCATTCGCCAGTGCCAGAACGCCGGCATCACTGTTCGCATGGTAACCGGAGACAACGTGAACACGGCTCGCTCGATCGCCACCAAATGCGGCATCCTGCGGCCCGGCGAGAACTTCCTCGTGCTTGAGGGCGCGGAGTTCAATCGACGCATCCGTGACAAGACCACCGGCCAGGTGAAGCAGGAGCTTTTCGACAAGATCTGGATGAATCTTGCTGTATTGGCGCGGTCCAGTCCACAGGTACAACTTGTGGATTATTTGTCCTTTCCAAAATGTGCGTGTGCGGTTCCGTTGCCCCCAAAGTTGTTTGACCGATAACGTGAACTGATAATATTGATTTTGATTTCAATGCAGTGTCTAGTAAGAGTAAAATCGATGGCTTGAACAGAAGTCAGGCTTTTACTCAACTCATCCCACACCTTGTTAACGTCTCTACACAATCGATTGTGACATGGAATCAATTTTGTCCAATCACACGTCACATTGTGAGTAGTGTTCAATATCGATTTAAACAACGGCTTTAACAGAAATCACACCTGTACTAAAATGAACACAACTCATCCCACACCTTGATAGCATCTCTACACAATCGATTGTGACATGAAATCAATGTTGTCCAATCACACGGCACACCGTGAGTTGTGTTCAGTATTGATTTAAACAATAGCCTGAACACAAATCCCATTTGTATCTGCATGAACAGCACTCATCTTACATCTTGATAGCATCTCTACACAATCGATTCTGACGTAAAATCAATTTTGTCCAATCACGCGTCACACTTTGAGTAGTGTTCAGTATCGATTTAAACAATGGCTTGAAAAGGAATCACACTTGTGCCCACATAAACACCAGTCATTCCACACTCTAAAAACAACCCCACGCAATTAATGGTGTGAATAGTCTTTTTTAAGTACATGAAATGCAATCCAATCAATGTTGTGCATTCTCCGGAGTTGGTCTGACCTTGGTCAAGCTTTGTACTTTCAGTGTAGTTGGCCTTTTAAATTCTAGTACATGCGCGAATTACGTGTTGCGCTGTCTGCTTTAAAGTTAACAGAACGTGACTAATTAATAATTAAAGCCAACATCGAGGATCGGAATCACGACTCACGGGGAAATCTTTGATCCGCGTGAGTTGACGCGTCGTGAAGGCAGTGATAGGCTCGTAGGTGGATGTCCTGTTGTTTCGCCTTTGCGCCTAGGCACAGGAAGCCTGCCTTTTTTGTACTAATTCACATTTTCTTTAACAAGGCATAACACCTTCTTCTTAAGCCTTCGTTGCCCTGCGATGCTTAATCTAGTCTTGTCAAAGTTTGTGCAAATGTGGATCCAGCCTACACACATCAAACTTGCATGCCTGGGTGAATTCGGACATTAGTTACGAAGATCTCCGCTCACCAACTTTCAGTCGTAGTATTCAGCTTTAATTTGTGATGTCGAGGGTAATCATTTCTCAAAGAAGACGAGCGCCGAACTAAGGCAGACGTCTACTAATCTACGTCCCGCTCAGCATGTAGGTAGACTCGAGGCTGTAGTGCGTTCTAGCAAACGTGGCTTCTGAGTGTGTGTTTTGTGAGTACTAGGTAGTTGTGTAATTAAACGCACTGATAGGAATTTCGCGAAAGCACTTTGTGGAGAGCACTTGAAGAGTAGCTTTCGAGTTGCACTTCAGGCGTGTTAAGTGGCGGTACACCGCGGTAGGTTCAGCCTCGTGGAATGCGTTAAAGGCCAAAAACGACCTTAATGTTTTCCAAAATTTGATCAAACCAAGCCAACTAGCCTTAAGGTATTCTGGTGTTGTAGGTGTCTCGTGAGATCATTTCAACTCTCCCACTATTAATCAAGAAATTCTTTAAAGTGCTACCAATCACGTCTCTTGGAGGTCCTCGATGACGTCTGTGTAGTGGTGGGACTAGCTAAGATGCTATTCTTGGGTCGGGTAAGCTTGCCGCAGCATAACTTGTCTTGAATATCTTCCAGGACAAGTACGTCCTCGTCAGCGGTATCATCAAGAGTCGGAAAGGCCCCCAACGCCAGGTTGTCGCTGTGACCGGCGACGGCACTAACGACGCGCCTGCCCTCAAACGCGCCGACGTCGGTTTCGCTATGGGCATTGCAGGCACAGACGTCGCCAAGGAGGCCTCCGACATCATCCTCACGGACGACAACTTCACCAGCATCGTGAAGGCGGTGATGTGGGGACGCAACGTCTACGATTCCATCGCCAAGTTCCTTCAGTTCCAGTTGACTGTCAATGTGGTCGCCATCACGGTGGCCTTCATTGGCGCGTCGGTTGTGTCTGTAAGTTGTGACGCATTCGTCAAACTTCACCTTAAAGACCAGGAATTCTTTAGCTAGACGAGTTTACGTGATCCTACCATCCGACGCAGTCGGATGAATCGCGAGTCCATAGGTTTTAGCCTACCACCTATGTTCCCTCGTCGAAATCAGCTTTTGCAACCTGTCGGCGAAACACTTGCCACATCTGCTGCAATGAGTTTACTAGAATTTTGAAATAGTTTCTAAAAGAAAAACGCAACTATTTCTCACGGTGAAGCTGTGTCCTTCGGGCGGGTGACCTTAATGTACCCTCTCATGACCTCTCTTGCACTCTGTACTCATGATTAGCCGTCTTTTAGAGAATTTTGGCTCCTGTGGTAGGGATGCCTTACGAAGCGGTGGTCTGTTAAAACTAGTAGCAGTGGTAATAAAGGCTTCTTTTTCGACACTAACCATTGAATTGTCACTGCAGCATGGAATCAATTGCCAAAAAGGGGTTCATCTTTAAGTTACACTGGAACCAACAGCGAACACCAGTATCTCCTCAGTAAAAAAACCACCGTATTTCTTGTCTGCCTCTTTAGGATAGTCCTCTGAAGGCGGTACAAATGTTGTGGGTGAATTTGATCATGGACACATTGGCATCACTGGCGTTGGCAACGGAGCTGCCCACGCCTGAGCTGCTGGAACGCGAGCCGTACGGCCGAACCAGTCCCCTTGTGAGCCGCAGCATGCTCAAGAACATCCTCCTGCATTCGATCTACCAACTGGCTGTCATTATGGGACTCCTGTTCGCCGGTACGTCGTTTCTTCAGACCTCCCTAAACCTTTCCTCCCTTTTTTTTTGATAGCGTTAGTGGGTGGCCACTGGTAGTGAGGCTCTATCAGCCAAATTTCCTTTTTAATGGTTCACGATCTTGGACTTGGTTTTCGACTTGTGTTCGTACGAGTTGATGAACTTGCCTGATGAGAGGTAAAAGGCAATACTTCGAGTCTGGAGACTTCTGGATCAATGCGGTCCCCAGGTTGGAACAGCATGGAGGTCCTCGGTGCGGATTTCGTTCTGCCCGAGGACGTGGAGCAGTCGCATTCTGAGGTCGGCATGCCTTGGGGTTCGGAGGCGGCAAATGGTAACGAGGGATTCATCAAACTCCCTCATAAAATGAGACATCGATTCTGGATACCAAACCAAAAATAGCGTTTTACTGGAATATGCGATCACCTAGAAGGCATTGTGCTGTGGTACCTCTGTGTTTTTATGTCCCAATGATTTTCTCTCGTGCTGGCTTCCATGTGAACCCCTGGTTTACCGTCTTGAAGGTTATGTTCAAAAACGAGTACCCTGTCGGTCGTATGTCTGGTGAAAATGGTGCTTGATCATCATTTGTTTCAACTTGCGCTATCACGCATTGAAGGGATCTTTTACCAAACAACAGAAGCCTGATACTTCTCTGTGAGATGCACCACAAGTTCGTCGATTGGTGGTACTCCAGAGCGAATACTTCCCCAACGACAAATATGAAATAGTTTGCACCAACACACGCATGTCTTGGATCCACGTCGTGATGCCAATTATCGCTAATTCATCGTCCACTGCAAACGGAATTCTAGTACTTTTTGTCCAAAAAGGGTCAATCAATTACCCATACTTCGTTTAGTTTGTTTAGTTGGTAAATTTTCTGTTGACTCCCTCCTTATTTACTGAGGATTTTCGCCAAGTCCGTGCCATTGAGTCATCGTCTTCGATGTCTGCGGATCGAGCGTCAACCAACCAATTATTGCCCCGTCCCGATCGGATCATCAAGGCCTTGAAACACGCATAGCTTGCCTAAATGCAGAGTTGTTGGAGTCGATTGTGGTGGATGAAGGCGGTTAGAGCCCATTGGTTGGCCACACAAGAAACAGCTAATTGTTTTCCTTGCTGTAGGATACGTTTGTTTCCCCCTCCTCCCCCTCCCCTCCTCGCCCTTGGGAACCGAAATGCTCCCACCCATTTTTCACACGCTATCTTTGCGTGTGCCTGGTTTCCCCGCCTCAAACAGCCCATTGTGGCATCGCTAATACTAACCCAAATGTGGGACTTCGCCCGCGAACACAAACAACGCCCCGAATGTGTTGTCCGTTAGGCCTACTTAAACTCTTATAAGTTTGCCTCAGATGTGTACCTGTGTTCCCTTTTTTGCGTACATTAAGCAAATGGCGGCCTAGTCCCTCTTATCTTGACATTAACAACGCAGTTACACACATGTGCAACGCCGTTTGGCAGTTCTGTACGTCGTGGCGTTCGACCACGTCGATTTGTTCCTGGAAAAATAATCTTTAGTGCGTTTGACCCATCACTGATGGTAGAAGGCCTGGAACACGAGCGAAAATCTCGCTTCTCTTGTTGCACTTGAACGATTTCCTTTTGAAGGACTTCAACACAGTGTTCCTCCGGCACCATCAGCAGAACCTCGGGCTACCGGACCTTACTTTGGTCTTGAATATTCCGCAGGGATTATTTCTGGTGACAGTCCTTGAAGCTGACACCACCATTCCTGATTCCTTAATGTCCGATTGGAACTAGACACATGTCCAGTTCTCTCAACACACAACTAGTTAGACTGTTAAATTGGTAGTTCAATGCTTCGAAGTGCCGTTATCCTGCGCCTTTGGTAACAATTTCTCCGTTAAGACGCATAGAAACCTGTCACTGGAATGTTCTACTGTCAGAGTATTGTTGTGCGCAATCCGTTTCGGTCGAATTTTGTGCATTTACGAGCTGCAGGCTGTCGCGACGTGGACGTGATAAGATAATGATGCAATTAAACTGTAATGAGCCAACTGCTGTGTCGCGAGCGTCATTTAGTATTCTACGGAGTACCCTCAAAAACGTCTCACCGCTCTGCCGAGAAATATCACCACAAGGATTAAACTTATTCAATCGTGGGCTGCCAATCCAAACAAAATGCGGTGGTGAGGCAACTTCCTCTATCGTGTCATCATGTCTTCTGCTTTTTGTTCCAGGTGAGTACGTTTTGGAGTGCGACAGTGCGCGAGAACTCGTCTCTCACGGCGTATCCAAGCCCACCCAACACTTCACAGCCATCTTCAACTCCTTCGTCCTGATGACCCTTTTCAACGAACTCAACGCACGCAAGATCCACGGCCAGCGAAATGTCTTCAGCGGTGTCTTCCGCAATTGGATATTCCTTCTGATCTGGATCTCCACGATGGTGCTGCAGATTATCATCGTCGAGTTCGGCGGCTACGCTTTCTCAACGCACGGTCTCGACCTCAACCAGTGGATGTGGTGTCTCTTCTTTGGCGTGGGCGAGCTCGTTTGGGGACAGGTGCGTGGTTGCCTGTTTACTGTCAACGCATCCCTCAGTCATGTGGTAGTTTCACGCCACCTTGATATCCTGTGTGAACTTGAGAAGTCCATTTAAGAAGGACTTAAAGTCAAGTAATGCTAGTGGGGGGAGGGGGGTAGGATTTGTTGTGGTCCCCAGCATGTGGTCTTCTACCACGCCGGGGCCACGGAATTAACCCTGGCCCGATTACGCTTTCCTGATATCCGCGATGGCGAAAAAGATCGGAGAGGACGTGGATACAACCGTTTACTTCAGAGCTCAGCCACGTTGGTGTCGTGTGTGGGGTTTGCGCATGTGTATTTATACCCCGGATGTGTGAGTCATAAATGCGCCAACATCGAGACCTAGGTGTGAGGATACTCCAAGATAAATATTCGTGCGAATGAGGAAGGAGTTGAGGATCCGCGCGGCTGGCGATATGCTGCGAAAAGGGGAACCCTGTGTCGGAGGTGGATCGACGGGATTAAGGGGCGTAAATAAACACGATTCACAACAGATTTAAACAAGCTTTCGCGATATGTTTGTACAGCATGGCGGTGATTCTTCTACTGGTCGCGATGCTTCTCTGTGAAGCGTAACGCGCGGTGAATAATTTATGCAACTAGAAAGCAGGGAAGTTGCAGCAGGCCCTTAGAACTGCACAGCGCAGATCCAATTGGATTCAACTGCTTCTCCATGTGGTCTCTCGTTCCCGGTCGCAGAAAAAGATATGCGGGTGCGTCAACCGGAAACTTTTAACCCGTTTTAAGCTTTGTATTAGCGAGGGTTTTACCTCTATAGGGAGAGAGGCGTAAGCATTTTCAGGTGGCTAACTTCGGACTAAAATTGAATCTCCCTAACGAAGCAGGCTGTTTAAAATGACGGCGGAGAACCGCTAGTGCACCGTTACGTAGAGAAAGTGGGTTAGAATGCGGATCACCGACGTTAGGGTTGCAAGCTGTCGGTAAATGTCTAGTGCTTCTTGGTTGTGGGCAGTTTTAAGCCATCTATGTGCAGGTTTTCTCTGGTGTTAATCTAGTTGGTAATCTCCATACCCGACTCCATCATCCCTGAGTGCAAACGGCGCAAGCCGGTCGAACAGGTTGTGGAGGAGGAAGAGGAGGAGGAGGACATCGAGGCGGAGCCTTCCGGAACTCCCTCAGAGGAAGAAGAGGCCGCGGTCAAAGGCCAGATCCTCTGGCTTCGTGGCCTCAACCGACTGCAAACTCAGGTAAGTACCTCGCCACTACGTAGGTTTCTAGTTTGAAACGAAAATGAAGCTAACGTGCAACCATTTCCAGTGAATTTAGGCAGCAAGAGTTGTGCCACTAACGTTTGACATAAATAGCAAATCACGGTGCTATTTTGCTGCCTCAAATAACTTCGTCTGGATACTGCGTAGAATAAGGCTGTCTCAGCAGCAAACTTGCTTAAAATATCCCGTTTAGTTTCGGTACTACAAGCCATAAGAGATCTCAATTGTAGGGAGTTGCTTTTCTGGTGAGGTGTTTTTCGACGTCAGAACTAACGGGTATTCGACCGGTACTTCGAGTACCTAGTCACCTTCGGTTCGTCTAGGTGTGGCAAATTTTCAAAATGCCACCGACGACACCATTCGTGGAACGATCGTCCACATTTCTCACCTCATCGCATACGTCCACGCGGAATTCCTTGACTGTGTTCACGTCTTCAATGCTAGGGTGGGTGCTGCATTAGCTGAATTCAGACAATCTCATGCTGCAGTGGTTCAAACCGTTACTCATTCGTCGAGTCTGTTAATCAAACAACACCGCAAACTTAGATTTCGACTAGTTTGTCAAAAACTAGGGGCAGAAATCCACCATAAACAGCCACAATTCGACGCAATGAAGATTTTATCTGCCATCTTGATAACACCTGATTAACCGGTGTGTTTAAATAATTAGTTGAGCCAACTCCAGGGAGGGTGTTATTATTATGTGTGAATCAGCCTGCATGACTGCTTTACCGGATTCGTGTGTGTGCGTGCGTGCGTTTTATTACTCACCGTGAACGGCTCAAGAGGCATCGTGGCGAATTGCAAATTGGGGAAGGCAACCAAACATTGCACCATCCCAGTCCACCACAACCCCCCTTCCGTCCGTCCACCCTCTGATCCATTCTATCTTCTACTCGTGTTTTAGCAAGCTCGGGTCAGTTTGGCCGCCATAACCCACTTAACACGCAATTCAAACGAGGCTTTTTGTGCCTAGTATACCTGTCCGATATGCACAATGTGCGCGCGCGTGTGTGTGCGTGTGTGTGTGAACCGCTCTACCCTTTAACCTAATGACACAAACCGTTGCTTTTCTTCACCTTTTGCACACTTGCGAAGATGCAAACTGTAAGTGCTGTCTGTGTGCACCGTAGAAGTAAGCCCATGCTCTGCGTCTACCTGTGTGTAGCAGTTTACGTAGATTGCTTGCCGCTGTTTCCTCCAGGGCCGAATCGGCCCTCTCTCTCTCTCTCGCTAACTCCCTCCCCACGTCTCCTCCTACCCCATCTCCCTTCAACGCCGTTTCTTCCCATCATTTCAGTTGCCGACCCCTCTATTGGCTTTGCTAGAGCGTTCTGCATCATTGGCCTGCTCGTGAACCTCCTCGTAGAAGGTACTTGTGCGGCTCCCTAGATCCAGCCTGCATCCATCGGCCCGTGCATGCTCAGTTTCGTAGCGAAATCCTTGAATGATGTTTTGTACTTTTGACACCTAATGACTCCGGGATGTTCAGGGGTCAACTACTGCTAAGCAATCGATAAAAAAGGCCATCAAAGATGTGGATATTTGCTGAGCTCCAAGGACGTTGTGAGATCACCCGTGGCCAGTAAGATTTCTCCGCACTTGCGCGCACGTGATGACGTAATCGGGCGTTCGCCAATCGAACAGAGCCAGATGATTGTTGCCAAGTGGTTTGGCATCTGGATGTCGCTTTTTTAACTGCTAGATGAGCACACGGTTCTCCTTTACCCGTTTGCTATTTTAGCAAGAAGGTGACGAACCAGAGGAGCTAATGTAGACGGAAGAGAGCTTTGGGAACGGTTACCTGCAACGCAAGCCGATCAAATTTCAGAAGCCAAACATAGACCTGATCGGTTGTGCCCGATAAAACCCAATATTGTCGGTTCGGAGCATGTGAAAAGTGGCCATTTTAGATGGGAAGACCAATGGGATAAGCCAGGATTGGAAAGGCAATCCAACAATTTAAAATGCATCCACAGAAATAGGAACTTCGTCGATACTGGAGTCACAAACACGAAGAGTCGTGTTCTGTAAATTTCTGTATGTTTCAATAAAGCACTCTGTGTGCAGGTCAGAAGTACCTGCAGCTTCTAACCAGAAAGGAAAATTACCAATTTGTTTGCTTTTTAATGTTCGTTAATGAGGCACGATTTTCCCAAACTAGTTCATTCAAACAAATGTTCCATTTTGAATGCTTATAGGGTAACCTAGTTACCCGAAAACCGCCTTTCTGATCAGTTAAAAAGCTATGAACAATTCTGTTTAGCGCATTTTCATCCCTTTGAAGCGGTTTTCGCCGTTGACGTTCAGTTTGTTGCACTAGTTTCTCCTGTTATTCAATGTCCACGCGCGTGACTTACTTTTTATGCATCGGTGTTTTTCGTGAGGCCAAGGGGAGCTGCAATAAAAGTCACAAGTTACCGGCCGAGGGTCTGATTCCTCGCCTGCACTGTGTTGGTTTCTCGCCCAACAGCATGCTACCCACGTTCTAATTTGCATCCAGTGTTTTGACGGTCCGTTTTCCTGCTATCTTTACTTTAATTATCCTCTTGAAGGTCGCGCTTCGAGTCCGCAAACTTGGAAAACTCCCATATGGGTTGCGAAAAACCAAGTCAAGATGGTGTCTCAGTGTATGCGTCTGGTAAACGCGACAGCTGAGTGTGCTAAAAAAAAGCCAACGGTGGTATCATTTGCGCAGTCAGAATTCGCCACACGTGGTGCACTTTATGGAGTGCCACATAAATCCTCTTCGGTCGATCTGAAAATGCTCTATTGTCTAGGTTGTTTTAATGTGTCAAATTTTTATTGGCTGTTGTTTTGGCGCTTACTTCGAAGGCCAATAAACTCACCACCTAATGCTACTTCATCCTAACCACAAGGCGCAGCGACAGGCTGCAGACAAATTCCCATGAGCTTTCTCGTGAGTTGTCAGTTTCCGTGACAGCCGGAAGCGTCGTCGACAGTTGGCCTCGGATGGGTGTGGACAGATGCGAGATGAGAGGCGTTCCTGGGGCGTGTGCGTGTGTTTCCTGTCGAGTCTTTGTTCGTCGGTGACGCTAGCTGGATTAGTAGACGGCGATCAGCCTACCTAATCCCTCATCAACCCCCTTTTTGTTATCAGTTCTAACAAAATAAACCGCGTTTAATTCAGCGCGCAGTGGTTAACGCTTTGCACCTGCACTCTTTTTTCACCACTTGTCATTGCCTTGCAGACTCAGATCATGGCTGAAGTAAGTTTCCACTTGGGGTCGACGTACGTGAGGCTGGACTACCAGCGACCCCAACACCTCCACACACGCGTTCTCCGTAAACCCTCATTTGGCGTTGTCAAAAAGCATAATCAGTGTCTTCTGAAAAGTGATATCACACCCCCACCCTCATTTGACATCAGTTGCCACGTCAACTCGTGTGCGCACCGCAATGCATGTCCTGCATGACCGTATTCATAATTGTCGTACACTTTTTTCAGTGTTGCCTGGTTGTAAGAAGTGCACTCCATGAAACGCTCAAAAATCCTTATCCACAACGCTTCAAACATAGTCCAGTTGCTTTCGTCTTTTATGTGGGGAGAAGAAGCAGGCACATGTACTTTCATGGTTAGGACACGCACTCTTTAGTCCACACTAAAATGGCGGAACGCGTATAGGCACTGTTGCATTAGCTAATGGTTTGCCGAGGTAGTTAGACTTCACCTGCACCTCAGGGCTGTGTCACCTCGCCCTTTTATCCAACCTCTTGTGTGTGTGTGTGTGTGCGTGTGCGTGTCGCTGTTACGCTTTCAACGTTTGTTCGAGTTTACAAACTGGGCCCCTTTTTTTGTCTGCCTAATAACGTGTTTACTCTTCTCTACCACCATGACATTTAGCTCAAAGTTGTCAACGCCTTTCGAATGGGTCTTGATGCGCGCTACGACAGCGAACAGCGCAAAAGCCTATCCGCCATCGCCTTCAAGCAGCGACAGCAGAGCCAGTCGACGGACTACGCCGACGCAAGCCCCGATGCCGCCAACGCCTCATGGCTCCCCTCGTACAACCACGAAAGAGGCGACGACAGGGGTGACAGTTATCGTTCCTCTGGAGAACGAACTGAACAGGCTGTCCTCCATTAGCCGTCAAAGCTGCCTTGATTGGTTGAGGTGGGGGCAGAATCTCGCAGAGAATGACTCTAAGAGTATATTACAGACATTGGTACAGCCCATCTACACAAAATCACACAGACACACACACAATTTGCTTCTCAATACCCTTTTGCCTATCCCGTAGCAGTTGCCTTAATGCCACAACCTTTGTATAAGCTATTTTCGAATGCTCCACCCCATAGCCTCTAGCTACACGTGT